TGGCCCTGTCCCTCAACGCGTCAGGAAGGCACGATGGGCCCTTGCCTAATCGGGAAAAATCACAATACTCCAGTCCCGTGGTGATTGCCGTCAACTGTTGTTCCGAACTACCATCATCATTACTACTACTCTATATATCTATTGGTTTGGTCTACGGCGCTATAACATCATTATTGTCTTAGCCAAGTGTCACTTAAGCCACTTCTTTTTTCAGGCAAAACAAATCAGGGGCTGAGAAGATCGTGCGACATTTGACTCACCCCAGTCGGACCAGTACACAATCGCCATGGACACGAGACAGGCAAAGCGAAAGAGACAAAGCAGCTCTTCATCCGGCCAACAGCCTCAAGAGCCTCAAGAGCCTCCCACGCCAGTCTCGATTAGAAGGACTCGTCGCACCGAGTACTATATTACCTCCGCCACCTCTTGCAATACCCCTCATCAGAGTAAGAAGGTTCGCTTCTCAGACCCAGGTCCCGGCGGGCAACATGGTTCTACCCACTCGACCGGCCTCACTCCGGCCATGTTGCGTTCTTCCTTCGAAGAACGCGCAGAAGATGATCCTTTGATTCGGAGCCCAAGCCGTCGCCAGCGACGGCGCTCAACCCCTCTTCCGCGGTCTCGCCGCAGTATGGGTGCTTTCGATGCTGCCAGTACAGCCTCCTCAGAGCATGTAGTGCAGTTTACACCGCTGCGACAACTTCTAGACGCGCGCACGAAACGACGAATTCGGCGGATAGGCCTAAGTGATGAGATCAACCATCTAGAGCGCGAGAAGAGAGAATCCGCCCAGTACGAGAAGACACTTCAAACACTACTACGCGAACGAGATTCGTTAAAGACTGAATTGGACTCGGTTAAAAGACATCAAGACATATCCAAGAGTCTAGCATCCAGCGAAGAAACCACATGGCTATCGCCACAATCCATGATCGAACAGGTGTCGTCCGAGAATATCCATCTAAGGGAACAGCTTTCTTTCCCTTCTCCGGGTGCCACAACAGACCATGATGCTATCAGCAACTCAGAGGGAGAAACAATGGTGATCAATGAGAGCGCATGGGATTGTGATACAATGCTTATATCAAACTCGCCGGATATTCGAGGCGTAGATGCCCGGATATCAGTACCTGATGACATCTCGATTCTGAGCCAAGGACATGCGAATACCGATGCGTCGACTCAAGCATCCATACCTGATTACAGACAGGAGGCAGAGATTATTGCGCTTTCAGCCGATCTCGCAGCTGCCAGGAAGGAAAAGCGTGACTTGTTTGACGCTTGTCGCGCCCGTGTCGCTTCGTTTAGTGGAACTGCAATTGAAGGTCTCCTTCGCCAGTCCTCTCCGCCGCCAGACTTCTTGGATCAAGTTCTGCCTACCTTGACCCAGACACTGCGGCGTGCTTCTGATGCCGCCCAAGCACTAGACAACGTTAAGGAAGAGTTGTCGGGTCTCGGATTTCCTGGGAACAACGCTGAGGAAATCATCTCTACGATGCGCGATCAATTTCGCGCCGCGCGCCTTCAACTCGAACGCGCAGTTCCTGGCGAGACCGCCAACGCTAGTCTCAGTGATGGCAAAGCAACTCTTGGTGCTTTGGTAAAGCGGGTTGAGATACTCGTCAAGAGCCTTGGGGACGAGCAGGAACGACTGGAAGGCTCCGTAGGCCGGGAGAACGCACTTCGGGGTCAATTCGATACCCTGTTGGCTCGATATGAGGGAGCATCGAAGAAGATTCATGACTTGGAAGAGTCTATTGCTTCTTCCGCTGGAGACATGCTTCACACACGAATGCGTATGCAGGAGCTTGAATGCGAAGGAAAGGAACAAGCTGTCAGCATTCAGCGGTTGAATGCGGCCCTCGACAAGTACCACGAGGAAGTCAAAGGACTAGAGGCCCTAGTAACTGAATTGGAGGATGATAAGACGAAGAATAACGCTTCACACAAACAGGAAGTGGGCGAACTCCAGCAAAAGCTGGAAGAGCAGGCCCGTTCCCTTCGTACTGCCGAATCAATCGTTGTGGAGCGGGAAACTCGCATCCGGGAATTGGAGGAGGCCCTTGAACAGAATCGCACCAGTGTGCGTGACCTCACAGCCAAGATTGAGTCGCTCGAAGCTGAGCGCCAGCAAACGATACATGATCTGGAGCAAGAAGCAACGGAGCAGCAACAGCGCCTTGAACAAGAAGTGGGGTCGATGAATGTCCTCGTCTCGGAGCTCAACACGTCACTAGAGGAAGCCAAATCAGATGTTGACCGACTTCGCCGGAGTAACACTGGCCTGGAGGAGCAGCTGCGCCTCGAAGTTGAAGCAAGGGACAGCCTGCTGGATAAATGGGCTGCAGAGCAAGCGCGGTCATTTGCCATTATGAAGGAAACCGTCAATAGCGAGCGACGGAAAGCCAGAGTTCGCGCTGCGAACTGGGAGCTACGTTCGGATGAGATCCAATCATCAGATGGCCTGAATATCGAGCCCATCACACCGGTCAGTATGACAAGATTTGTCGACGTGGAAGCTGGCCGGGGGAAACATCGTAAGCGACTAGACAGCGGGGTAGGGATACTCACCGATGACCTGGAAGATGCAGATGCTGGTATCATGCCAGAATCGTTGCCTTCTGATCCCGCTGAGTTGCTGTAGTTCGTTTGGTACATGAGTAACACTGGAACGTTGTTCGCTATGCATGAAAAAAGTCTGCAATATATTTTGGTTAGCTAAGCATGTTGTTGGGATAGTCTGCTAAGTCATGTACATCAAGCCTTGGACATAATGAAATGATTTGATAGTTGTCTGTTGTGCTTCTGTAACTAGTAGCGAACGAGGGCAGTAGTGTTGCACGACACACGACTCAACAAGGTGTGCCAGAGCTCATCAGGTCAACTTCCACCAACACCGATAGCATAAGAGTGTTCAAGTTGGGATTTTGTGACATGTCCAAGACACTTTTAACCAACACTTGCTTGCATATACGCAGATGCTACAAGTACATGTGGTACCACAACACCTGGATCAGTTGCCTTTGACTTTGAAGTAAGTAGCAAAATATATTGGCTGATACTACCTGGTGGTGCCGACGAGGCAAGTTCGCATAATGATACGTCTTTACGCAAAATGATCAAGCATCCCAGGATGGATCAACTTCCTTGGTTCGAAACATACTCACATTCTTGACTGTCATCCGCATACTTTATCCAAACGAACTGGCTTGACAGACGCCTGTAGCCCAGCGTGTCAGTCACGCGCAGTGGAGGCCTACCTGCAATAACTACATATTTAGCTTGAGCCTGGACCTCAGTGGTCAAAGTCCTTGCTTAATTTCTATCTATTGATGATTATATTTCCGGTTATCAGTGCATCTAGTGGAAAATGGGCAATGGTAACAGCGGTCTGACGGCCAGCTTTGGGGCGTTTCCATGGTTGAGTCGGACTCCCCTGCGTTATAAGGTTCATCCCGCGGGTGGGGGCGCTTTGATCTTTCCATTGAAGTCTGGCACAGCTTCCCCGTCTCCCCTTGTTTGCGTCAGGGCAAGGCCCTGCGGAAACCCTTTTTACGCTCTACACAATACTACAATCAATTGATTGTTCATATTGCTGACGACCAGGGAGACAACCGTGCCATGGGGGACTGCAGTCAGCAGGCGGGGGGGGGGACCACAAGCTGGGACTACTGCCATGTGTCATGTCCGAGGGAAAGGGAGAGAGAGAGTGAGGAGGTCAGTGCATCTGAACCCACCGGGGTAATTAAAGGAAAGCACTAACAGCATCCTTTGATTATTCCATGAATGCTCTAGAAGGACTAGAATGGCACTAGAGGGAAATTGGTCGCCGTTAGCATCCTCGCGTCCATCCCTGATCCACCAGGGGTTTCCTAGGGGAATGCGTCATCCAGGAACCTGTCCACGAACACAGCAACAACTATCTCTACACAGTAATATTACTACACCAACCATTTGTGGGCTGACGGGGTGATGAAACTGGATTTTGCCACACCGGAAGGGATGCAAGATCGGGGGGGGCAGCATGTGAACTAAGGTTTGGGACAATCGGGATGCACGATCAAGGTTTCGCTAAACTTGTGTCGCAACTTGCAAGGAACTGCAAGCTGGCCTTTTTAGGGGCGTGGGGGGGAAAGGGAGACGATCGGGGGGAAGTGCAGGAGATTGCAGGAAATGTCCCGGCCAGTCGGGGCTCCATGGTGACCATGACAAACAGTCAAATTGAATTGATGAAGCTGTGATGAGAATGATTGTATACGTAGTACGAGGCATGGGTTTCAGCTGGTAAGAGGACTGTTTCATCCCACCTCAGCAATAGGATCATCACTAGCATCGCATCAGTATTGACTGTGTATGAACTTTGCAAGGAGTTGGTGCCGATTATTCCGTCGATCGCAAAAGAAAGGATGAGAGTCATTCCCTGGGGGAGGTCAATAGTGCCGGAGACTATCAGGTCAAGGGGGGGGAAGGGAAGCATCCACCAAAAGGAAGAGAGGGATTATTAGGTATTCTTGGTGGTGATTATTCAATAATACGTAAGGCCATCCAGGCAGAGACCGACAAGAAAACGAATCTGAGACGGAGCGCCATCAACTTGAAGCCGCGGATCCGACCCCTGAACCCGCTGCCTCAGGCGTCGGGGCCTCGTTGCTTTCTCTCTCTCCACTTTCCTCTCTTTAGTTGGAAGTGTCTCTCTTTCTTCCTCTTCCTCCTTCTCTTCTTCTTCTTCTCCCTCTTTTCTCTCTTCTCACCTACTCATCCTCATCCCCCTTACCATTCATTCATTCATTCTCTATTCACAGCTTCCTCACTCCAATCCCCTCTTTGTCCACCATGGTTGTGTCCACCGCGGTTACATCGTCTCACCTGCATTGACTTTGTTTCCCCCCACTACCGAACCACTGTTTGCCTCCCGCGTGTTGTTAACAGATTGGGTCTACTGTTTATCTCACGTCACCCCGTCCCTCCTCTTTCTGGGACGCGTTCATTCATCCTTGTGAATGCCCTCCGATTCCTTCGCTTCATCCGTGCGAAGCGCTGAATCCCCTCTTCGCATCTCCACCTCTGTCGATTCTTTGACCAACCCCTCGAGCTCCGATTCTCCCCTCCCCAGTCCCATCCGCCACGATCAATACCCTCTGCTGACCTCCCGCTTCCGCCACTTATCGCCCAAACGAGCCGCCATCATGAACGAGACAGGCGGCCATCCTGGTGTGCGCAACCTTCTCGCTAGGTTCGAGAACAACCAGAACAACACTACTTCCCCTCCCTCCCGCGGTCGATCTCCCGCTGGCTCCGAACATTCCGCAACTGCCAGACCCTTGTCCAAGGTGCGCGCTAGCTTCATCGCTGTCGATGGAGCCACCCAGCCGAACCCTGTCGCAGGGCTTCGCAGCGTGAGTGGTCGCAGCGATAGCCCTGCTGCTCCCTCTCGGGTCAGGAGCTTCAATTCGGAGGATTTCGAGGGTGGCTTGAGAAGTCCGTTGTCTGTGTCACCAACCAGCAACGGCTTCCCTCAGAAGATCACCGAACAGCCCGTCGCGGCCTCGGAGACATCGCAGAATGATGTGTCTGAGAAAGTCGAGTCTGCCCCGGTAGAGCCCGAAAAGCCCTCAGAAGAGGTCATCGAGGAGGCCCCTGCACCTGCTGCTGCTGCTGCTACGCCAGCCCCAGCTTCTCCTGTAAAGGCCAGCAAGGTCTCCACCCCCAAGCCGACGCCGACCAAGACAGTCACAAAGCGACCATCCACTATCCAGGTGGGAAAGACGGCACCCAAGCCTGCTTCCAAGTCGCCAGCGCAACCCCGTACCCCCACCTCTCCCGCCAAAACCGAGGACAAGACTACTCGGACTACACGGGCGGTCCGGCCGACGGCGACGAAGACTGCGACCCTTGAAGCCCCTAAAGTCGCACACAAGCCGAGCCGGACATCCTTGAACACTGCGACGAAGCCCGTCACCAAGCCTGCACGGCCCTCTGTGCCTGCTCGCGACCTGACAAAGCCGACAGCCTCGACCGCATCTCGCACCACCAAAGCGGCCGCCAACCCCACTCGCCCGGCTTCGACAACGGCTTCGACTTCTTCTACCGCCAAGAAGACTACCACGTCTACTCTGACCCGCAAGCCGTCCACGCTGAAGAGCTCGACCACTGCAACCCAGAAGCGCGCGATCACTCCGACCGCTTCCACCGTGCGCAAGCCGTCGTCTCGTACCTCCCCTCCTAGCGGAAACGAACGCCCTCATTCCCGTGTGAGCAACACGAGTTCCAAACCGGTTGACGAGGGATTCCTGGCTCGCATGATGCGCCCCACAGCTAGCTCTGCGAGTAAGACGCACGACAAGGTTGAGGTCAAGAGCCCCCCGCGGGCCACCAAGCCGGCTCGGGCGCCTAGACGAGTTCCCTCCAAGCTGGATACCCGCACTTCCCGTCCGACCAAGGTCGAGCAAGGCAAGCCGCTGGAGAAGCCTGCGCCTGAGGCGAAGGCCGAGGAGCCGGCCGAGGTCGTTTCTGAGGCCCCTGCTATCCCAGAGAAGCCCGTCGAGGTTGTCGAGGAAGCTCCCGCGCAGGAGCCTGTGCAGGAGCCCGTTCAGGAGCCCGTTGAGACCTCTGTCGAGCCTGAAGCCGAAGCTGCCGCTCCCGTCGCCGAGGCTGCCCCTGAAGTCGATGCTACCGAGGTTGCTGAAGCTGCTGAGGAACAAGCTACCAACCTCCCTGCGGTTGCTGAGACCGAGCCCGTTGCCGAGATCACCGTGCCGGCGGAAGAGCCAGCCATTGAGGTGCCCGAGACTAAGGAGGTCACTGAGCCCGAAGCTCCTGCTAAGGAATCTACTGAGGCTTCTATTGAGGTTGTCGCCGAGGCTCCTGAGGTTGTCGAGGCCCAGTCGGGCGAGGTTGATGTTGACATGGGCAAGCTCTCTCTCAACTGACTTTCTGCGGAGCACTTGACCAGTTAAAATAGATTCTTCTCTTCTCGTTTCTTTCTCGTGACATATCTTTTTATACCCTTGATAATCGTGATGCGACCAGGTACATATGCTTGTCTCCACGTGTTCTTGATATTGATTTTATTGTTGGGCTTTACCCTTCTTCTCTGCTTCTTGGCTTCTCTGTCTTCCATTTTGGTCTCGGGTTATCTTTCGGGATCTTGGTGTGGAAAGCCCCTTGTTGACAGTCGAACAAGACCGACGACGTGCATGTCGGAGCATTGCAGGTGGAGTTGATTCGGATGTGATCTTAGCGATGTGTACGGAGTACTGCATCTTGCATAGTACTGGGTCCTCTGGCATATTCTTATCCTTGATTATTTTATGCTTTGGTGTAAATTATTGGTATTCAGTAAATGATAGTTTGTTAATCTTATCATAACATGCCAGTACACACAGCAGGCCATTTCACCTGGATCATTACGATTGATTTTCATGACCAAACTAATGGCCAACTCAGAACACAGCTACAGCCTGCATTGTTCTAGACCGCCACAGCTTATACCTTGGGAGAACGCCGAGCACATATTTACTAATAATGCGCTCGACTGCATGCTACGCCCTACACACAACAGCAGTATGATCCTTCGCCCATGAAAGGATTCTTCCCTCTCTCCACCTCAAATCACTGGTTCTATTTTTATTGACTCCAAATCCAATGCCATTCGATCCGATTTAAAATAACTTACCATGTGATGGATAGCATCATCACCAGACCACAGAGAGATAGTCAGCTCACGAAGCGGATTTCAAGCCGTACATGCACACAATAAATAGTTACTGACTATCTAGGTATCCGGTGAATAAATATGCTCAATACTGCTCTACTAGCTGCTGAGGTCAGATTAATTATTAGCGGTGATTCACGGAACAGAATAGCACGTGCCTGTACCTGTTTATTCTAGATTGGATTAGTTCCTGACATACTTCGTTCCTTCTATAGTAAGTAGTTATAATAACAACAGGAGTGAGCACTGGAGTATTAAAGGCGTCATCTATCCTCTTTGACTCACCTGTCTAATCCTATCTCATAAATAAGTACTATCATTTCACATTACCACTATAACTATCTCTTCAACTTCAACTACTATACTATCACCCCACTATGACAGGTACTTCCCCTCCCTCCCCCGCTCCCCTTCACATCCCAACTATCACCTCCATCCATTGACACTGACATTAACACCACCACTCCAGACTCTCCCACAACTACATCACCACCACCCCTCCGCATCGGCGTCCTCCTCTTCCCGGGCTTCCAAGCCCTCGACGTCTTCGGCCCCCTCGACGTCCTCAACGTCCTCTCCTGGTCCACCAACACTCCCTCACCCACCTCCCCATCTCCAACTCCAACCCCACCCATATCCCTAACCCTCCTCTCCACCACCCTCAACCCCATATCGACCCTCCCCCCCTCCCTCCCCAACGCCCTCTCCCAATCCATCCTCCCAACAGCAACCCTCACCTCCTCTCCGCCGCTCGACGTCCTCCTCATCCCCGGAGGCTGGGGCACTCGCGCCCCGCTCCCCGAACACATCGAGTACATCCGCTCCGTCTACCCGTCCCTCAAGTACCTGTTGACCGTGTGTACGGGTGGGAAGTTAGCTGCCAGGGCGGGCGTGCTGGATGGGAAGAGAGCCACGACGAATAAGAATGATTGGGAGAGTGTGGTTAGGGATGCTCCCCGCGTGGAGTGGGTGAGGGAGGCGAGGTGGGTGGTTGATAAGTCTGCTGGGGAGGGTTTAGAGGTGTGGAGTTCGGCTGGTGTGAGTGCCGGTGTGGATTTGATGTTTGCTTGGGTGGAGAGTATTTGGGGGGAAGAGGTCGCGGGGAAGGTTGAGAGGGTGTTGGAGTTTAGGAGGTGGAGGGAGGGGGGGAGGGATCCGTTTGTTTAGTTTGTTAGGGATTAGGATTTGATTGTATTTTAGGAAGGAGGGGGGGTATGAAGATGGTTAAGTTAGGGGTAGTTAGTTATGAATATCTCTTCTCTTTGTTTAGGTAGTTGTGATATGTTGTTCGGAGATATGAATAGATGAAGTGAACGTGTATGGAATGGTATTAATCAATCGCTGTTGAATCGAACGTGTAAGACAGATGATATACTATGTAGAAGCATTCAACGCCAGTATAAACAGACCCTTAACCGTCATCATGCCATAACAATTCAAACGTCAAGTTCCTTCCAGGAGGTGGTTACAACTTCTTCTCCAACTTCTTCAAAAACCGATTCACCCCATGCTCCACCTTATACGCACTCTTCACAAAATACTGCGGCCGATGCGGATCCCCCGGCTTGACCATCGCCTCCTTGGCATACTTCTGATGCGGGGAGATCGACTCCTGCGCCGTCGGCTGATACAATTGATTGTGAACATTGTACTCATTCCCTGACACCGTGGCGCTGCGCTTCGGTCCCTGCTGTTCATACGAGAAGGTCGAATATCCACCTAGTGAGAGCTGCATGGGCGGTGTAGATGTCGACGATGAGTCCGTTGACGTTCTGTATATGCCGGGAGTCGGCGCTGCTCCTGCTCCTGCTCCACCCCCGCCGTAGAGGTGCGCGTTGGGGTCAGTAGGAGGCGGGGCGAAGGACATGCGTTGCTGTTGCTGCTGTGGTGGTGGCCCTGGGAGTGACTGGTTTGTGCCCATTGGATGGCTGAGGCTCTCGCCTGATAGGAACGAGGCAGAGTAGGAGGGCAGACCTGGGCTAGGCATGGAAGTTGGGAATGAGGAGAGGCCAGCACTCGGAGGTCCAGGGGGCACATAATTTCCAGGCATGCTGTAGGGCGGGGCAGGCCCTGGTGGAGGTGGAGGGGCGGATAGGCCTCTTGTTGCTGATGGTGCTGTTGCTGTGGCGGCTACCCCAGGAGGCATTTGGGAGGATTGAGGATAAACAAGGCCGTTGTCGACAGCTGCAGCTGCTGCAAGGCCGGTTCCTGTCTCAGCGTCCTCTGGTGGAGGGGTCTTCTCTCGGTGTCTGATAGGCTCTGGCGCTGGGGGTGCAGCGGGATTGTAGGGTAGAGGGGCGGGAGTTGGCTCCGGCGGAGTAGTATCATGTTGTTCGCTGGCTACGGAATGAATTCCAGGTATGACTGGCTGGGCAGTTGTAGCTAAGCCGCCTAATGGAGGGGGAGGAGGGAGGTTGCTCGGTGGTGTGATGGCTTGGTAGCTAGGCACGGGGTTAGACACAACCTCGGCTTGAGAATTGCGAGTCTGTCCATTCTGGTAGCCGGGATCGGTTATGGCTACGTTTTCCAACTGCTGCACAACAGAACTGACGGTGCTTTGTGGAGGAGGTGGGAAGGGGTGTCGGTCTGTCTCGATTTGTGACTGCGAGAGATGACGCTCCACCAGATCTAGGAACTGATTGACGTCCTCCGTCGTCCAGAAATATATGTCTAGGGTGTGCAGGCGGAATAGGGCCGGCGAATCGTTACCAGGCAGTTGCCATTCGCTTGAAATGGCGCCTGGTGGCGGGGGAAATGCAGGTTGGCCTTGGGGTGGACTCGGCACCTGTCCGTCCACGGTCACAGTGCAGAGAGTCGGGAATTTAGTTGAATGTCGGAGATGGATATTGTCCAGAGCTATAGGCGTTTAGCAATAAATCAGCATCACCAAGGTGGTGAGTACTAACCGCCATTGAAAGCATCCTGCTCCGGAGTCCCTGGATTGTTCGCGACCTCTATCCTGATCTTCTGCAGAGCGCTGTTGAGATATAGATATAGATAGCAGCCCTTATCAAACCGGTGATGGACAGGCTTCGGACATGGCGCTGCAAAATAATAATGGATATCCGCAAAGCTACACGGCGGTTAGCAACTCCAGGCAACCAGATGTGATACAGCTGCAGCAGCTGAGATCTGCGGGGTAGCGCTACTCACACAGTTAGTATACGCTCTTCACCCGATAACGGCGGCATAATGGGCGATCAACGTTTGATAAGGCCACCAGGGCGTGTTGAAGAAGAGAAGAAAAGAAGATGAATTCCGCATGAAGCGAGAATTGGGGGGAGACGACAGCGCCATGATTTATACCTGGACAAGAGGGGAATTCACACCGGCCTGTAAGATGCAGCGATGCAGCGTGATGCAGAAGCCCGGCGGCTACAGAGCGGCTGAGAGAGCCTCTGGCCGCTGATTCGCTGCCGCCGGAGATGTCACAAGAAACGTTGCTGCCTGAGGCAGAACACCCTATCGGCGCCGCGATTATGTTCCTCCGAAAATTTCATCTGAGCTTCCGCATCATCGGAGATTGTCTGCCAGCGGGACCTCAAATCCGACCATTGCTGCTGCTGTTCTAGATTGAATCGATAGAGATTCGACTATCCTTTCATTGACCTTCTCCGCCCACCGCAACAGGTACATCCAACCCCCCACCAGCTTCAGTCGTCGCGCAAGTCTGCTCACTCCGACCCAGTCACTTTATCCCCGTCCTCCGCACACCACAGGCCCCCGGGCCAAACCTCTTGTCAAGATGTCTCTCGTCAACCTCGCTCACGTCTGCTCGCACCTGAACAATGCCTGCAAGGCCCGCCTCGGCCTCACCTCCATCCCCAACTCCAAGCTCCACCTGAAACTCGCCCTCGCGCTCCAAAACGACGGCTACCTCTCCTCCGTCGTCCGCGGAGGCCCGACTCCTCCCCCTGTACACCCTATCCTCGGCAACCCGAACCCAGTCGATGAGGTCGAAGGCATCGAGCCCGTGACTCAAAGTAACGTCGCTACCCGACGACTCTGGCTTGGCTTGAAGTACTGGCAGAGCGAGCCCGTGCTGGGCAAGTTGAGCATGGTTAGCAAGCCGACACGACGAGTGACGATCGATGTGGCTGGTCTGCGTCGGGTGATTCGCGGTGAGCGGGATAACACTGTTGAGGGTATTCGCTCGCCTGGTGAGAGCTTGTACATCTCTACGGACCGGGGTATCTTGGAAGCTAGGGAATGTGTGGAGAAGAAGCTGGGTGGGTTGGTCTTGTGCCGTATTCGCTAAGGACTTTATACGGAGAGGGAAGGATGATAGATGGATTACTTTTGATTCTTGTGGTTTTGCATTTATAGCGGAGTTTGGTCAGTCGCGCTGTGTCTCATCCCATGCTTTGTATGTTTTATGTCGCGACTTTGGGATGGATACCTTGTATAGTAACTAGGTGACTTCATGTACGATCTACCATTTTGAAGGCCTGTTTTTCTTATCTTTTGTGCTGGCCGCTAGTGATGATGGCTTGGTTGGGGCCGATGGTCATTGTAGGTGTTGTTCTAGCTGCTCGTGATGTTCATCTTGCTCTGGTCTTTGTTTACTGGAGACAGCCTAGCTATGGTTCAACGAACCTCAGGGACAGCCAAGCAACAGGTTTAGAGCTCGGTGAATGACTCGGGAAGACATTCTCGTATCCAGACAGGGTTTCGTGCACATCTACAAGGATCAACCCCTCTACTACTACGATGTTCTCAACAAGTTGCAGCTGGCCAGGTCATCTATCGACATACAGAACCACCCGGTAGTGTCCGATGGCTTACTGGTCCGCCTGTGAGCACATTGAAATCAGAGTGCTTTAATGATTATGGCATGCTGCTGCAGCTCTACACCGACCTGCCTGATCCAGTAGATTCTGCTGCTTGCATCTAGCAGTGTCTGCTGACAATATCCTGTTATCCATGTGCATGTGAGCTCCTTCCCATGGGTCTCTTTTGCGGCGGTTGTCTCGCTTTGACCGTTCATCGAATTAGTGCACCGGTTTATGAAGCTGCCTTACGCATGGCTCAGCTGTCGTGGCGGCGCTGATATAAGCAACAGGTTCGCCATGCAATATTGGCAAGTACGGGATATTTTCTTCCTGTTAGAACTCCTAGAGTCCCCGTTGAGTAGCCGATACAATAGTAGTTCTCAGTTTATACTTTCCCGTTGGTGCATGGACTCTGCTGCCATTGCCAACACCTCACCGTGCAATGGGAGGATGTCAGTCCTTCTAATGTTAGTCATAGAATTTGGACCAAGTCTGATGCGCAGTGCGTCTGGATTGAGCCAGCGATGTTATCTCCGGGCTGTCCGGATACTGACTTGAGATCACCATGACCCATTAATCTATCGTCGATGTACCAACGAAATAGGTAGCAGGAATGCTGGTCAGGACGAAGGGGGCATGATCTGGTGGGATTGTGAAACCACGGTGGGTAGGGCAGGACACCCCAGGCGTTTGTGACTACCGAGATAATATCGGGTGAGCTTCAAAGCAATATCAGACGCCACGAATCATCCACACTCTTTACTCGGGAGGTTACCTCAGCGACTTTCCGTTGGGTCGCAATGATGTACGCCATACGCAACCCGGCAATGTCTCACAGCTTGTGCTGGTTCAATTTAATCGAGTAATCGGTTTGATCCACGAGAGAAGGCCCTGGTTGCTTTGTCTTCTGGATTCTTCTTGTCCAAGGTTTCCCCTTATTTGCCTCGGCACATTGTTTGCTCAGATGGGGTCATTTAGGGTATCCAGAATATAGGCAAATAGCCAAGGGTCCCCTCAATAGATCGGGGTGGTAAGTTTCCCTATTCATGATCTATCATTAGTTCGATTGCTGTTTGCACGTCAGTGACCTCGTACGAAGAAGTAGTTTCATCAAGTCAGCGTCGGGAAAGGGGTATTGGCTGACATGGACGCCCTGAATTTGGGCGACAAAACATGCAGCTGTGTGTGCCCAACTCATCGAGGAGCAGTGACATTTCAGGCCGGGAACCTGAAGCTCCCCGCCCTGTGGATTCTCGACTTTAGGCCGCCATCCGTCCTTGACCGTGGTGTGTGTGTGTGCTCCCGATCCACTCCACAATATATACACCAAATCTCTGTGGTGGTTGAATTGAACTGGGTCCTTCCCTCCAGCATAGGCAGCTGTAGAGCAAATGCGAGTAGCGCATCCTCGACAGTGGGGGTGGATCCCTAGATAGACAAGGGCTAGATATCTACCAGTTGGAGTTTGAGATGGACTGGACAAGCGCCAGACTATGGTTCGGTTCACCAGCACCATGGAGTACAACGATATGCGCATAGCCAAAAGAACGATCTGGAGTGGAGTAAGAATAATGACGGTAGATGCGGTAGCAAAGTCCCGATGGGGAAAGGAAGATCGGGTCTATTTTGGCCCTCGACCGGTGGACTCAGGCACCCACGCCAGTCCCCGCCGTCCGCCCCGTGATTCGCAGTTTGCTTCTCTTTCCCACTGCAACCTCCGCTTCATCATCGGCCTTGGTCTTGTTCTCCTTCTTCGTCCCTGTCCACAATTGGATCCCAATCAAGGCCCAGTCGATGTGGGTGGAGAGCATGGGACCATTGACACGGTGCCCAGTAACTTTATTCCCTTTAACTTCCCCCCTACCAAAGAAAAAAACAAAAGCCCCTTACCCGCAATGTTCCATCAGCAAATGGACTGACTGGCAATTGGGCCAAGACCGTGAATAATAGTAGGTAATGTTCTCGTCCTTATGCCCAGCGGACGCATGTTCCCTGCCGAGTCCTGCGGTTGCTGCCCAAAACCCTATGCAGCACCGGATCCTTCGACTCCTCATTTCTTGTCCTGACATGCGCGGTTGAGGGCAAGATCAACATACAGGAGTTGGCTATGTCCCGCTGGTGGAGTCTCGCTGCGATTTACTGCCGGGTCCATCCATGGCTATGTACCCCAGTATGCCTGGTGCAGCTCCACTGATTGCACGGAAGACTGGCAGGGCGTCTAGCTCCGGGAGTTATTGTCTGGCTGCTGCGCCGGCGGACTTCCTTATTGCTCTTCATCGTCCCTTGTTCTCCCGGACGTCTCTGGCTCAATCGATCCCCCTCAACCCTGTCGGCGAGGCACGGTGGAGACCTGGCTCGATTGGCCCTGGAAGCAAGATGGATTCGTTGTTTTCCGTATAGTACGAGGTATCTTCCGGCACGCGCTTGCTCCCTGACAGAGCGGAGCCCGGCCTTGAGCAATCCAGTCCTATTGCCACTGACAGTGGAGTTCTTCATATTTTTTCCAACTTGCCATATCTCACGCGGCCTTTGAAATTAAAAGCTTATCTGGTGCCGTGGGCCGTCCACCCTCTTATTTTATTTTCTTTTCCCACCTTATCTGCTCCTTTGCTATAATAAAACGCCCCATTCTACTCGCTGTCAGGCACCATTCTGAAAGGTCTGGACTGAACAGGCTGAGGTTGCCTCGCCATTGTGTATACCCGTTCATTCTTCTATATAAATCATCAGCCTCATGTCCACGGTCCTTTCACCATCATTGATCGCAATGTCTTCAGGTCTCAGTTATTTCTCAAGAGCATCCGGGAGCAGCGGCTCCTGCACACATTCCATCAGCAGTGATGATTCGTGGTCTCGCCACAGGTTAGCCCCAATGCAATATTCTCCTTATTTTGTTCCTGGTGATGTCGTCGGGGGAAGCTCACCTTGTACAGTGGCATCATGCCCCAACAACCGTCCGTATACGGGACTTCGGGCGAGGCGCCCGTGATCTATCATCCAAGGTACCTTGTCACTATCTTGTATCGGCTTTACTTCCTTTCTTTGCAGAACCTGTCATACTGAGACTCTCATGTCACTCATCCTTAGCGCTAGAAGGTTCTCCCCTCCGCATATTGAGCGTGGACCCATAGATACTCAGGCTCCTGTCAAGCCCAACAAACCAGTTTCGTCGGAATTTGCTATGCCATACAGCGGACTTCCAGTGACCTCACATGCACTGGGAACCATTCCCGTGTCTGCAGGAGGTGCCTTGCCACGCCCCACAGCTCTTTACCCAGAGTGGGACCACCCTGCTCGCCTCCCAGCGGAGTCACTTAGGCGTGATTACGACCTAGTCAGACCCTACGAAACTTCGGAGTACCTGATTGAAAGAAACAGTCGACGCGCAACGGAGAAGCCTAAAGGCGCTACCCGGTATCACTCGCAGAGACGGCCGTCTAATCGTGACGAGTTCGACGGACCCCATCAGTTGCTAGACCCACCGTCACCGCGGGTCATAGCAGCCCAAGGGAGGGATTTGCCTCATCTACCTACTAATCTAGATGTCTCAGAGCAAGATCAAATCCTGTCGTCAGTAAACGACCGACTGTCACAGTGTGCCTTTGACTTTGTTGCAAAGTATCAATTTCCGATTCCACTGGAACCGGACAAGAGACCGGTGAGAGTTCCTTCTGACCGCGAGTGGACCGAGTGGGTATATCTCCTAAAGAGACTGGCGACCAAGCGTCGTATCCCAGCCCGGGTGTTGTATAATGGCCAGATCAAGCAATTAGTGACCGTTCTGGAGAATTCCCTGGAGATGAGACATGCCGCCAAGCATCAATCCCGGCCCATCAAGGATGATCGGAATGTTCTTCAGCTTATCTCAGCTGGCACGCAGGTGGCCAAGATTCTCAAGGATGCCAATGCCATGGAATTCCTTGACCGCCTCTATCTTGATACAGAAAAACGCATCCATGATCGACGCAGCCGTCGCGTCAAATTTGCCAGCCCATGAACTAGGGTATTTGCCAGCCTTTGCCTAAATTATGATGATGATGATTTGAGTTATGGCCACACGATCCTGCCTTCCCATGGACCAAGTGCAGACCGCCATGCTCCTGTTTTTGTGGTTTACCCCTCCGCACCTCTGGACGGTTGTTCCCAGGAAGGAGACTTCCCAAGGAGAACAAACACAGTGCCCGTGGAATATCCGGATTACCCGTCCATTGTTTAAGCGGAACTGCGGACCTTTACCTTACCCTTACGGATGGATTGACTTTGTCCAAGCGTCCCACATATGGCCCCTGGATATGGATTCCCCAGTACTACCGGATTGGCCGATTCGATGATCTCAGGCCATGACCGGCCGAGATTTTAAACAAGTTTGGTTCAATAGATCCCCTTTGATTGGACGATGATGAAGTATGCCATGGTGATATTAGGGCTTCTTTTATGCCGTTATGGAGGTTTCTCGTGTGTTCCTCGGGTTTATTTGTCTCTTTTTATATGTTGTCTGGATTTCCATGATCAGATTACCTTTCGGCTTTAGATTATACTTTTGGTGCCGTTATATGCTTTTGAACCTTATGCCTTGGTATGGGTTGAAGATTTGTCTGTTCCTTATGTTTCTCCTTCAATATCATGTTGTACAGCTCATTTTGGCTGATCCGGGTGGCCTTTTGTTTTTTGCACTGCGGTCGACTTCCGTTGATCTAGAGGTTACATGGCTGTTGAATTGTCATGTTTATTGCGTTCTGTTGGCTTTTCAGGCTGAACACTTATATGAAACTCTGCGCTGGCTCAGTGCTTGGTCCATTTTTGAATTGTCCACTAGCACTGATAAAGCGTTGTCAGCAGCCAGACTTTGTGTCTTTCTCAGGGACATATACAAATACTTTTTGGACTCTACGAAGCGGGAATACAGTGTTATTTTCACACTATAGAGCCATACGAGCGTTTGCTGGAGGGAGATGAGGTGGAAAGACATGGGGCCACATTGGGGAAAAAATCCTGCAGAATTAATAGTCTGTTATGCGCCTTCTCTGTCCGGACATGATAATCGGCCAAGATTGGCCTCAGGCACAGAGACAGAAGGGGCCTTTTTCTAAACCCCTAGTGCTTCTCAACCAGCCCGTGCCTCAATCAAGATAGTCTGGCAATCAACAGACGGCTATCATTCTTACTGCCCTTACTAACGAACCAGGTACATCTTACCCCCGACCTCCTCAAAGAGCCACCGTACTTGGCGCGCCACTTCTTACCTTTCTTCAAAAACATACGTAATATAACGCGACCAAACAGAACCACGAGAACTGGGCGACTTACAGGCCCAACAAATCATTGCTTTGGAGGTCAGCGGGCAGCCTAAGGTATGACCCAGAAGGAAGTGCATGATGATCACTAGCATTCTTTCTGGAGTAATTGTACTAGCCTAGTAAGTAAATATCTAGTAGTGTCTGTCATTTGGTATGTGACAGAGATAACTGTACTACCTGTTACACTAGAACATCTTGTTATAGTGTTATCTTCTTTCAATAGTTTTAAAATGTCCATAATACCAAAGAATTTTCATTTGGTAACTGAAATCCGATCGCATTAACTTGTGTCATGAAATGAACTCATAAGTCAGGTACTATCTCTAACATGGTTTGCTGAGTTTAACTCCCAACCGAACATAAATAAACGTACTTACTGAGACAATCAGGCTGTAGTAGTTGCTATCAAACCAATTTTATCAGCAGCGGGTTCACCCAATCCATCATGATCATATATATCTTCTACTACTATTCCAGTTTCACTAGCACTATTCAAGATCACCCCTTTTCCTCTTTCTCTTCCCCTCCCTACTACTAGTACTATTATTCTCATTCCACCCCTCCACAAACTCCAAAAGCCTACATTCAAGCTCCTTCCCCCTACGCGCGGGCCTCGGCCCTATCGGCAGCTCATCGCCCCATTCAGACTCCACCTGCTCCGACAAACACTCCCGTCTCATCAGGGCCAGTCCCAGCCCATCCGCCAGCGATCCCATATCGCCATGCCAAGTGCGTGCCAGGACTCTGATAGGTCCTGCTGGGAACTGCGCGGGGACGTGGACTTTGACTTGCTGTTGTTGTCCTCGCGGATTCGCTGTTCTTCTTCTCCGACAAATCTGATCATGCTATAGCGGCTTGGAGTAAGCCACTCGGTGCTGCTTGTGCAGTTGTCGGGGCGGGTGGGAGGGTGGTGGTGGTTGTCGTCGGTAGGGTGGGGACCAGATCTCGAAGCATGAATTGGGGGGTAGTGGTAGTGGAGTTTGCGTGGCTTTCCTGTGTAACTTGCGAATTTTGCCCAAGGCTCTTGTAGATGGTCGACATTGAGCTCGCGGCTGTAGAACAAGGTCTGTATCTGTATCTGCATCTGTTTTGAACAGATCCAAATCCCCATCTAAGCCCTTCAACCACCCAACAACAGTTCTTATCTCGAGCTCATTGAAGTTCATCCACCTGAACTTCGCCTCATCTTCAGTAATTACGTCCGTATAGTCATCCTGCATTCTCCGAAGTCGAGTATCAGTGAACAATCTCAGCTTCTTGCCAACACATAACATTTCATATCTCAGCTGTAGAAACCATAACGTACGGTAGATGCGATACTCTTCGAGCCATGAGGGAGGTCCCACGTCGTGTAGCTTGTACGGTCCCGTTTCTGTCTCTGTGGATGCACATGTCTTCGAATATAGGTCTTCTTTGGTCCAGCGGTGCGGATGAACGCTCCGAAGCCGGGTTAGGAGGGTGGATAGACATGCGCATGCTAGACGCTGGATGTTGGCTGCGAGGGTGATCATTTCGAGGAGGGTTGTGTGGGCTGATGGGAAATCGAAGGAGAGGGAGGAATCATCATCTTCTAATAGGAGTGTAGTATAACAGATGGTGCGTCTGACAGCTGGTTGTGAGGAAAATTGACGTAGTTTGGTGATTATGTGGAAGTGCCGACGGAGTTGGACGGACATGATGGGGTTGTTTTTGAGGGTGCATTTGACAATGCGTATGGCTTCGCGGTGGGCTTTGGATGATGTTCGTGCTGATCTTCGTGATTGTTTCTTTGGTGAGGTGCTGGGGGCTGCTGAGGTGGTGAAGAGGTCGTGTAGTGGTGGGGAGAAATGAATGAGGCTTTCGAGCGTGATCCAGTCTGCTGTGTAGTCGATGATTAGGGAGAGGAGCTCGTATGGAAGCTTGCTTAGGGGGTCCATTTTGGTGCTGATGTTGTGAGTGGAGTTGGTGGTTCTGTTCTTTGGGGTAAACAAGTTTTTGATATATTTGAGGAGGAAGGTTAAGATGACATATTTTATCGTCAGACAAACTTATCATGCAGATTTACGTGCATTTGGCGTCATTCTATGGATGCATGCAGTCGGGTTTTGCAGCAAAAAAACATCAGCTATACTTACATAACATACTGTTATAACGCAAAAAAAGCTCAAACAAAAGACAAATACGGAGGATTCCATCAGTTTCTTCCAAACAACGTCCTCCACACAGCTCCCAACGACAACCTCTCCGGCCACCTCATCAATACCCCAGCCCCGATCATCACCGACACCAGGACCGACCCCAGCCCAGCAACACCTAACAGCTTCCCCTGCCTCTTCACAGACGCAATCACCTCTGAGTACCGTTGGTTACTAAAGCTTACCCGAGAATACTGTGTCTGCCACCCCAGGCTCGGTACGTAGCGGTCTAGTGTCTCCTCCACCGTCTTGCGCAACTTGTAGACGGGACTCTTGACTCCCCAGCGCATTTCCAGATAATTCTGCTTGGACAGGTCGTTGATGGCCCATGTATCGGCCGTGCGTTGGTTGGTGTATGCTTGCAATGCTGCGGCACGGGCAGAGGCTCGAGCTTCAGGTGTAGGACTGACATGATCGTCATAGACGCCGTATTGATCCATGAAAGAGAAGAGAACGCGAATATCTTCGAGTCCGGCGTTCAGTCCCTGTCCATAGAAAGGCAGGACGGCGTGTGCAGCATCGCCGACTATTACTACGCTGGAGCCGAAGTGGTGTGGTTTACATTTCAGACTGATGAGAGGGAGGTGTGGGTTCTCGGTGAATTGCTCGGATAGGGCTTCAGGCGTAATCAAGTTGGGACAGACGCCGGGAAAATTGTAATCGAAGGAGGTCACAAGGTCTTGCGGTGAGCTCTTCTCCAGTTTCTCATAGTGCCAGGCCGGTGCGAATAACGTGCAGGTGAAGGATTTATCAGCTGACGGAAGCGCGATGAACATGAACTCTTTGCCCGGCCAGATATGTAGGTGGTTAGGAGAGATCTGGAAGTCTCCTGTTTCCGGGTGTGGAGGTATGCGGAATTCACACCAAAGCGCGTCGATATATTCTTGCTGATAGTCTACTCGGGCGAACTTCATCATATGATAGCGGGAGGCGGAGTGGGCACCGTCGGCACCGATGAGGTAGTCGAAGGTGATTTCGATCTCGGTCACTGATTCCGGAGTGTAAGCGGTTCCCGGAGTGCGGCGTTCGAGCCAGGCACGGTTGGTGCGGAAGTCGGCGCCGGTGAGCTTGTGGTTGAAGAACATCTTGACGTTTGGCGTGCGCGACAGTTCATCCAAAAGGGCATTGTTGAGAGTGCCGCGGTCAACGGCATTGATGGCCTAAGAGCAATGTTAGATGGAGTTGTTGGAAAATGAATGGACCTAAGACATACTCGGCCATGGACGTCATAGGTTTGCGCAGCTTCCCAGAGCTTGCCGTCGCTTCGGCCGTGAATCATACGTCCGTGCATGGGGATGGCGTCGGCGAGGACGCGCTTGATGAGCTCCTCTCGATTCGCCTGCCGCATGGCGGTAATGCCCCGTTCGGAGAGGGCGAGATTGATGGACTTGGTGAAATTCAGAGGAATCGTGTTTGGATCACGCAGATCTGTAAATCAACATGTAGTGTGAGAATGGCCCCATTCTTGATAGAGATCGAGTCATCAGGAAGATGCGGGGTCGATGATGATAGAGTCATCGCAGCCTGTCGGATGGCAAGGGAAGCAGGATATCCAGGATAACCTGGCAGCGTATAGCGACTAACCTCCGCGTAGTTCGTACATCTCAACATCGTCGCCTCTAGCTGCAGCGTAGAGAGCCGCCAGGGACCCCACCGGGCCAGCACCCACGATGACCACTTTTTGTCGTCCAGCAGACGGTTCCGCCATGTTGACCGGAGTCCGTGATCGAGAGTCTACCTGGACACTTGATGTGATTTGGGAGTCTTGAGGATGATCCCGAGTCCGCGTAGTATAAAGACCTGCAGATCGGCCGAGCTTAAACTGATATTGAAATGGCAACTGACAGCTGCGTCACACGCATTCCTTCTTTCTTCCATATGGCGGTGGGTCTGTGGAACATTTTTACGGCCAACAGGAGTTTGTTCTAGCCGCCCCCCGCCGATAAGCATCGTGACTGATTGACCAACGAGCATGTCCCATTGAGGACCCTTGACGCCGGTTACGCGCGCTTGTTGGCGCTTACTTAGGGTAAGACCGGATACACTAGTCCAGTTCAGGCTAAGGGCAAACAGCCCACACTAACCCAAAGCGGGAATGGAGTGCCTGGAATTGGCCGGGCGGATAAGCGCCACGCCACGCCAGGCCCATCCGCGGGGGATTGTCCCATTTTTTCCCTTCTAGCCCAACTTATATTCCTCCGGCGACCATTTTTCTCGATTCTTTCTTTCCTAGCGGTCGTTTACCTGATTCCCTTACATTCGCGATATAGCTCGATCTCAAAATGGCGGAAGTCGCAACGCGGAAATGCATGGGGCTGGACTGTGACAAGAACGCAGGCACGTTGCAGTGTCCGACATGCCTCAAGGCGGGCACGGATAGCTTCTTCTGCTCGCAGGACTGTTTCAAACGGAGTTGGGTAGGCTACCTTACGTGACCCATCCGGCTCACGTGGGTTTGAACGCTTTTCGAGGTGATTTGCGAATGCTGACTGGTCCGATACAGAGCGAACACAAGACTATTCACAAGAAGAGTAATTTCCTGGCCAACCTCTTCACTCCTAAAGTAGTTTCTGAACCAGATCCAGCAACCGGCTTGTACAACCCCTTCCCCGCCTTCCAGTTTGCCGGCAACCTGCGCCCTGTATACCCGCTGTCGGCTCCGCGAACCGTCCCCAAGACCATCCCCCACCCCGACTACGCCAAGGATGGCATTCCTCGTTCCGAGCAGAAGTTCGTTGGCCGCAACAACATCAAGATCCTGAGCAAGGAGGAACAGGAGGGCATGCGCAAGGTGTGTCGTCTGGCCCGTGAGGTGCTGGATATTGCCGCCCGGGAGTTGAAGCCCGGTGTCACGACCGATTACATTGATGAGGTGGTTCACAAGGCTTGTATCGAGCGTGAAGTGAGTGCTTTTCCGGGCATATTGAGTTATGATGATTAGTGGTGGCTTGGTCTGGTGCTGATGCGATTGGCTACAGTCTTACCCCTCCCCCCTCAACTACTACAACTTCCCCAAGTCGGTCTGCACGTCAATCAACGAGATTATTTGCCACGGTATTCCCGACCAGCGACCCCTCGAGGACGGCGACATTGTCAACATTGACGTTACGCTGTACCACAACGGTTTCCACGGAGACATCAACGAGACCTACTATGTCGGTGACAAGGCCAAGGCCAACCCCGATGCGGTGCGCGTGGTTGAGACGGCGCGTGAGTGCTTGGACAAGTCCATTGAGCTGGTGAAGCCGGGCATGCTGTTCCGCGACCCTGGCAATGTTATCGAGAAGCACGCCAAGTCCCGGGATTGCAGTGTGGTCAAGAGCTACTGCGGTCACGGTATCAACCAGCTGTTCCACTGCGCTCCCAACGTTCCCCACTACGCGAAAAACAAGGCCGTTGGTGTTGCCAAGCCCGGTATGTGCTTCACCATTGAGCCCATGATCAACCAGGGTACCCACCGCGATCGTACCTGGCCCGATGACTGGACCAGCTCCACGGCCGACGGAGCCTTCTCCGCCCAGTTCGAGCATACACTTTTGGTTACGGAGGATGGTGTCGAGGTGCTGACGGCGCGCTTCCCCGACTCGCCCGGTGGGCCTGTGCCCATTCCGGCTGCTGCGGAAGCGTGAGTTTCAAGTACATTGCATGCAGGTAGCGTAACGAGATAGAGCGTTTATGATTACGAGGGTTGGGTGTGATGCGTGCTGTATTTGCACTGTTTTGGGGTGTTCTAAGTGATTATTATGCCGCTGTCTTTGTTCGTCGTTGAAGATATCCTTAGTGTATAGGAGTGGACCATGACCATAACCATGTTTGTGTATTTTGGTGTCTGGCATTGCGTTGTCGCAGTATAGTTTACTATCTGACCAGGATGAAGGCGGAACAAGGCAAACTGCCAGCGAAATCGTAACAGGAGAGCGTAGTTAGCATTACGTACGCGGCCGGATCGGAGAAGATAGCGTTAACGATAGAGTTGCGATTGCGATATCCGAGAAGAGACCATCGCCATCGGGGCGGGCGGACCCGTTTCCGTTTTGAGGAAGTCTCTCCCTTATCTGTATTTTTCTGACAACTCTCCTCGGATGAGTATGTATGGCCATGTCTAAATCGACATCCACAAGTGACACTTGCCTATGCGGCTCCAATTCTGTGTAACCATCGAGGATGATCCCTCAATGTCGTGCCTCGGCCGAGCGAGAGATGGCAGTTATGTTGCCGATAAAACCAATCAAGACGGACTCTGACGGTATTTCCGCAAGTGGGGAAAAGATGCTTATCTCCACGTGACAATAGCGCAGGGGCCCATTATCCCAACTAGTGGAAGTCTAGTTAGTGAGTCCTTTAGTGAGCAGTTATTACTTATTCGCCCTTCTGCCTCTGACAATCGGTGACTCTTCCCTCGCTTCATTCTCCCCTCCTTCTTCTCCACCTTCTCGACTTTGTGTCGACTCCCTGGCCCCCTTGGTAATGGAGATTACCCTTCTCTAGAGTCATTCCCCCACTATGTCTCCAGAAAGGATTCCTTCCGAGACCTCCCCGTTGCTGGGTCCCCAAAGCAATGTCTCTACCACGGGGGCTATTCCCAACCTTGGCCGTCAGGATGTTGAGTCCGGCGAGCAGACTCTTCCGCCCCAGGAGGACCAGGCCAAAGATGCTTCCGAGGCCGGGAAGGGCCTAAGGTATATCATTCCGGCTATCTCTCTGGGAGTATGTGATTCCCCATCTATTTGTGCATAGGAGATTCCTCGGTAATACTAATGCCGCCCAGGTATTCCTCTCCGCAGCCGACCAAACCATCATTATGGCCAGTTATGGGCAGATTGGCAGTGACTTGGAGGCCCTCAACCTGACCAGCTGGATCGCCACCTCCTACTTTCTGACTTTGACCTCGTTTCAGCCGCTCTACGGCAAATTGAGTGATATCTTTGGTCGCAAAGCATGTCTCTTGTTCGCATATGCCATCTTCGGCATCGGTTGCTTGTTCTGCGGTCTTGCGCAGAACATTGATCAGCTCATCGCTGCACGCGTAGGTTGAACTGTTGTATTCGCACTTCGAGACAGTAACTGACGATGGCCAGGTTTTCCAAGGTATTGGTGGCGGCGGTATGACCACCGTCGTGAGTATCCTGATGAGTGACATTGTTCCTCTCCGGGATCGGGGTGTTTGGCAGGGCGTGATCAATATCATCTATGCGACGGGCTCCGGTATAGGTGCCCCTCTAGGTACGCTCGATCGATAATAACATTTCGAAGTCTCTCCTAACATATTATGCAGGTGGTATCTTATCCGACTTTATCGGCTGGCGATGGTACGCTCCTTCCAATCACTCTCGTTACGCACCCTCCTCTAACCTAACCCAGGGCCTTTATCGCTCAAGTCCCCTTGTGCATTCTCGCCTTCATCGCCGTGACTGTCATGCTCGACCTCCCCGCCCAGGAAGACAGCCACTGGAAGACGAAATTGCGCCGTATCGACTTTCCCGGCGCCATCGTCCTTGTCGGCGCAGTCTTCGGCTTCCTCCTCGGTCTGGACCGTGGCAGCAACGTCTCCTGGACAATGCCGATTACCATCGTTTCTCTGAGCGTCTCCACAGCTCTCTTCGCTCTCTTCATTATTATAGAGGTATTCTACGCTGCCGAACCATTCGCCCCCGGCCACATCATTTTCAACCGGACCTTCTTCGCCGCATACGCTTGTAACTTCTTCAGTTTCGGCGGCTGGCTCGCCGCCCTGTTCTACATCCCTCTCTTCTTCCAAGCCGTCGACGGCGTCTCCGCCACCGTTGCCGGTCTTCGACTTCTCCCTAGCATCATCTCCGGCGTCAGTGGCTCCCTCTTCGCCGGCTACATCATGAAATGGACGGGCAAATTCTACTGGCTCACCATTGCCGCATACACCGGCCTCACGATAGGCCTTACCACCATCTTCATGGCCTCTGGTGCAGTCACCGAGAACACCACCGTCCTAGTACTAGGCATGGTCGGTTGCGCCTTTGGAAACGGCATCGGTGTGACTTCTACCTTAATCAGTCTCAGTAAGCCTCTTCCTCGCTTCACTCCCTATCAGTTCCACAACCCGACTCTCTAACCTCACCCTAATAGTCTCCAACTCCACACCCGAAGACCAAGCCGTCGTGACAGCCTGCTCCTACCTCTTCCGCTCCCTCGGCTCCGTCATCGGCCTCTCCCTCTCCTCAACAGTCGTTCAGCAACTCCTCCGCGAACGCCTGCACTTTGCCCTCCGCGACAGCAAAGATATCGATAAGATTGTCGACGGTGTCCGTCAAAGTCTCGACTTCATTAAGACCCTGGATCCGACTACCGCGAAGATCGTGCGTAGCTGTTATGGCTGGGCCACGAATAAGGGCTTCGCATTCTTGGTTGGGGTTGTGTTTTGTGCGTTGATTAGCAGTTTCTTTATCAGAGAGAAGAAGTTGTCGCGGTAGGATATACCGGGGTTGGACTCTGGCTGTTGGTAGTAAGGGAACTTGGGTAGATGATGATTAGATGATGGTGGGTTTGCGGGGATGCTTACTTGCATCGATGAGTGGGTGCCTATACACTTGCATAGTGGCTGTATATGCCACTGTCGGGATGGTTAAAACAGATGCTAGAGGTGGTATATATATGGTGACTTAGATGGCATCATTCGGTCCAGTGATAAAAGGGTTGGATCTACTTGTGATCCAGCGGATACCAAAATGGGATTCGGGAAAAGGAAGCATTAGATCGTCTAATACTAGACTGATCATGGATATTTTTTTTGTTGTACATATGCATGCATTCCCGGGTGTATCTATTGCTTTATTTTGGACAAAAATGATTTCATCAGATGCATGTTAGCGCAACCCTTACTACAACCAATATTGACCGAGGCAGCAGGCAACCCAGGATTCAAGTGCCAGGCGTAGCATATGAGTCAGCAATTATGAGATACCCAAATTCCCTCGATGAAATTAACTGAAAGTAATCAATCCCATGTTCACGAACTGCATTTTCATTCAGAAGAGTAGTCAACGTTGGGAAAAGAAGAGAGAAGAAGTGGTCTTGAGTCAGGTACAGAAGAAGGCGGTGATGGGACTGCGGATATTTTAGCCTTGGATGGCTCCAGCTCCGCCAACTTTCCCCGGAACCCCAAACTGTCAGCCTCCAAGTCACACTGTCGCGGTTTGAGAGACAACAGCACCTGCAACCCCCGAGAGTTCCACCGGCGACTCCCAGTGAAATCTCACAAGCATGATCCTATCGGCCTAACCGTCACATTCCTTTGTCGCCCGCCATGTCGGACACCCGCCCACGGCTGGCGCTGTCACGATATCGTCCCATTTTCTACCTGCTCTCCGGGGTAGCCGCCGCCTACGCGATCGTCTACATCCACAACTACATTTCCTCCTCTCCTCCGTCGCCTTCCCGAACTTCCCTCCGACGCCGCAGAGCCGTCCGTCGCCGGCGACGGAGAAGCGAAGCCAGCAACGCCAGTGACCATCCTGTTGACGACACCCCGTCGACGCGAGCTATCGCGCACCTGGAACAACTGGAGCGCCAGAATGGAGTTTACGGAACATTTCGCATCGAGACAGAGGATGGAAGGCGCGTGGAAAGTGGCCTCCTCCCATCCCTTCTCGCAACGCGGGACCAGCTCATGGAGGAAGTGGGGGTGCCCCAAGCTCATGCGGAGCGGATGCGCGAGATGATGGAAGACACATTTCTGGAATCTTTTCTGGCACTGGACTTTCCGCCCACACATTTCATACAAGAAGGTTGTCCGGAATGGGAATACTTGATGGTAGAGCTCCAGCGGCGGGGGATCTCGCAGGCTGGAATCGAGAGGGCCTTGATGCGATTCAATGCAGACAATAACTACGGAGAAGAGTTACGGCGGCGGAGACAAAACGGCGAGAGGGTCACTTTGTCGACATCGACCTTCCCTGAAGAGTCACCGCCGGCGCCGAATATGGATGGTGGAGAGACGGTGGTGGATGATCAGAGTGTGTTCTCGTGGAGGGATGGGAATAATGATGCCTCGCCAACGAGAGAAGGACAGAATCTGCTCAACTTGTTGTACCATATTGCTGAGGACCAGGCCAGACGGGATGGGTATATCCATCGCGGCGTGACGTGCAATAGCTGCGGAGCCATGCCCATTCAGGGTATTCGGTACAGATGCGCGAACTGCATCGACTACGACCTGTGTGAAACCTGCGAAGCCATGGGAGTGCACATCAAGACACACCTGTTCTATAAGGTCCGTATACCTGCCCCATTCCTGGGCAATCCTCGACAGTCTCAGCCGGTCTGGTACCCTGGGAAGCCTACCATGCTGCCGCGCAGCTTATCTCGGTCTTTGGCCAAGCGCCTCATGAAGGAGACGAGCTTCGAGAATACCGAGTTGGATGCGCTTTGGGACCAGTTCCGCTGCTTGGCCAACCATGAGTGGGAAGAAGATCCGAACAAGCTCTACATGGCCATCGATAGGAAGACATTTGACCGGTGTTTCGTGCCGAACACATCCATCCGCCCACCGCCGCCTAGCCTGATCTACGACCGCATGTTTGCCTTTTATGATACCAACGGGGATGGTCTGATTGGATTCGAGGAGTTCTTGAAAGGAATTGCCAGTCTCAACAATAAGAGCAATGACGAGCGACTACGGCGCGTATTCCGTGGCTATGACATTGATGGTGACGGCTACATCGAGCGGAAGGATTTCCTACGAGTTTTCCGGGCCTACTATGCGCTTAGTAGAGAGCTGACTCGAGACATGGTGGCAGGTATGGAGGACGACTTTCTCGAAGGCGGTGCTCGGGATGTTGTTCTGGGAAGTCAGCCGATCAGCTCGGCCTTTCCTGGCAGCATTCCCTCTGGGGAAGTCTCGAGGACCGGGGAGGGTAAGCGTCTGAATCAGGATGGCGACATGGAGCTCGTGGACAACGAAGGGATCGTACGAGCAGACCGCGCGGACACAGCAGACCGACACTCGGTTGTGGGAGACGCTGCGGTGCGAAGCCAATACGGCAGCGTGCGACCCATGTTCCCAACTGCGGCTCGCCTGGCGACTCCGTCCGGATCTGGCGTGGCTCATACTTCAGGAAGCAACACTAGAAGAGAAGTCAACGGTGACGATGGTAGTAATATCCCTGACGATGTCTCCAACTCTTCCGGTGCCAGTGACAGGTGGCCTCCACCGGAGCATGTTCGAGACTACGATATTGTGAACGCGCTTGGATATCATGTGCCTTTAAACGATATCACTGATCCAGTTGATCGAGCCCGTGTTGGTACCGCGGTATACAACAGAATGTGCGCTCAGGACCGACTCCGGGTTAACATGGCTCGTAGCACGGGCATCCACAACCGCTGGCAGCGCAGACGGTTCTATACTGATGAGGAGGACGGCGCAACTGTTCCGCCTGGCTATCGCAGCGACATGGACGTCGATGGCCTGAGCGAGGATGAGGACGAAGATGATGTCGACGAGCCCCAGCCCGAGTCTCACCCCCCATCTCCCCGATCTCGCTCCTCCTCCAAGGTGCGGTTCCAAGATGATCTCACCGACGACTACGACGTGCGCTCCAACCCGTCAACCTCATCTCGCAGCATCCTGGTGGGTGAACGGTGGGGCGGGTTCGAGATTCCAGAGGTCGAAAGAGATGTCGGCAAAGAGATCCTGTATCAAGTCACCCAGCAAGGATTCAACGAGCTGCTCGACCTCCTATTCAAGCCGAAAGAGGACCTTCTTATGGAGGCCTTCCGGACCCGGGCCGAGCGCAAGATGTGGGCGCGCGAAATCGAACAAGTCGAGCAGGCGGAATCCGGTACACAACTCGCACCGGAGCAAACCAACAACGAGCCGGACGAGCATCCAGAGTCATCGATGGTCAATCCATTCCGTGACCATTCCTTGGACGAATTGCTCAGCCGGGCAGGTTACTCCGTCCGCAGTCCACCTCTCGAGCCCGTCCAGGATGGCCCAGTTCTTCCCCCTCCCACCCCAGACCTGGGTGTACCCAACGACGACGTCGTCTATCTCGGCGTTCCTGAAGTCGAAGAAGAAGGCGACGATGAAGAAGAACAAGAAGTCATGCACCCACGATCCAGCCACGACTTCCTCCGCACCCTAGGAACAGAACACACACCCATGTCCCCCCCCTCTCACGCGTCCACCTTCGAAGAAGACGACGACGAAGTAGTCAACGACGACTACGAAGAATCATCCCGACCCCCATCCACCGCATCCTACTACGACCCCACCCTCCCACACCACCGACCCAACGAACCCGACGAGCCCTACCACAACCACCACGACGACTCCGACCTCATCCTCTCCAGCAGCACCAACAGTCCCGCCTTCCACCCCCAACAGAGCCACCACCTCCCCGCCGAACTCCGTCTCGAACCCACCGCCACAACCTCCTTCCCAGCCCCCACCTCCCCCTCCATCTCCTCCCCGGAAGCCGAAGCCACAGCTCCCAAACTCTCCCCCTCCCCTATTCACCCCCTACCCGTATCGTCATCGTCCTCGGCCCCTCCTCTCGCTAGACATGCCAGTCCGCCTCGGCCCCCATCCAAGGCTCGCATCGCTCATCTCGCTTACCTAGAGAAGGTCGAGCGCGAAGCCAAGGAACGCGGCGGCAGTGGCGCAAAGCTTAATTTCTCGGAGTTTGCGCAGCGGATGGCGATGGATCGTGGTCGTGCGTTGGCGTTTGTCGCGAGTTGGATTGAGATGGCTAGTTTTTAGGTGTCTACTTTTTTTTTGTGGATGTGAGTAGCAATGGGTGGGTTTGTATAATATGTTCGTTGTGCGTGTGTGAGAGCATAATAGTATGGAAATAGTAGATTTCATGACTTGACTTAACTAATCATACTACCTGTCCTGTCTTTTCATATATTACAAAGGACTACTGGTATCTTGTCTATTGAATATTAGGACAATACAATCAAGCAATGATATACGTCACGTTCAAAAACGCATCATCACATAGCCGATATAACCCATTTCATGCATACTATATCTATTACACACAAACAACACCTATACAGAAAAAAGAAACAGCGAACGAAACAACCCTAATCCCAATACTTGATCAACCCATCCAACCCACCGGTAACAACCTTACTAGTTTCCTGCGGATGCCAATCGAGACAAGTAGTCGCGCCACCTTCCTTTCCACCAGCCAGGATCTTATGGTACATTTTACCCGTCTTCCAATCCCAGAAGCAGACATAGCCGCCACTATCACCGGACGCGATGAACTGTCCGTCAGGGGAGATCTTGATATCAATGGCGTAGCCGGCGTTGTTGTGGCCACGGAAACTCTTCTTCCGGTTCTGGCGGAACTTGTCTGTGGCGCCGTACACGACGATCTGGTTATCGCCGGATTGGAAGGCGACGTATTTGCCATTGGGGTGGGGGGTGGCGCGGGTGAGGGCGAACATGTATGGTTCGGCGATGAATTTGATGGGGACGGGGATGCCGTATTCCCAAGCGCGGAGGGATTTGTCGTCGGAGGTGGAGATGAAACGGCGGTTGTCGTCGACGAAGGTGATGGTGTTGATGGCTGCCAGGTGGTGGTCGTATTCTTGGACCAGTTCGCCGGAGCGGGTGTCGAATTGCACGATCTTCTTGTCGGACATACCGGCCAGGAATTCGTGGGAGTGTTCGGCGCCTGGGTTGAAGCGGATGACGTGGGGGGTTTTGCCGGTGCTGAAGCGGCCGAGACATTTGCCGTATTCGGTGTCCCAGAGCTTGATTTGGCGGTCGTAGGAGGCTGTGAGGAAGGTGGTGCCGCTGGGGTGGAAGTCGGTGTCTGTGATGGCCTTTGAGTGGCCGGAGAAAGTGCGTAGCAGTTCGCGTGAGTGGTAGGCGTCCCAGATCTTGGCTTTGCCGTCGGCGGCGGAGGAGAGGAGGAGGTGGCCGGAGCGGGGGAAGAAGCGGAGAGAGGTGATGGCCTTGGTGTGCGATTTCCAGGTATGGATGAGTTTCTTGGGGATGAAGTTCTTGGCACTGCCGGGGTCTTTGCGGAGGTCGATGTCCAGATCTTGAGGAATGTGCATGTACGTGCGGCCCAAGTAGTCGAACTGCTCTGTGCCGTGGAATTCGGTGGATTCGACCTTGGTCGTGTCGTCTTGGTAGTCGGTGGCTTCTTTGCTCATGGCAGGCATGGCTGATGGGGCCAGGTCCTCCTCTTCATCGACCTCGACGTACTCCTCGTCGCTGGCGAGTTCGCGATCCTCGTCAGCGGCCTCCTCCTCGTAGAACTCCTCGCGTTGGTATTTCGCCCATGGGCCGAGGTAGGCACCTTCACCTTCAACGATGCTGGGGTCACCCTTCTTTTGCCGCTTCGCGCGCAGCGCTGCAGAGGCCTCCTTGGAGGGTTTCATCTGGATGACATCGCGGCCACCAAATTTGGCTGCGCTATCAAGATTGCCGACAAACTGGCCCGGGAGACCTGGGTTGCGCGTGTAGCCTAGACTCTGGAAGGTGCGGTGTTGCGCGGCGAAGGTCGCCTCACTGATGGCCGCTTCCTCGGCGAATCCGGTCGGGACATTCTTGCGCTTGAGGCCGTTTGCCGGTCCGGCAGGCTTGAAGGGGTTGACGGGGCCTTGAGACGGCCGGGAGAGATCATCGTAGGTAGCGTTGTAGGTGAGCGCGGTGGATGAGGTGTTAGCGAGCATCATCTGCATATGCGCTTGATCCTGTAGGTTTGTTAGATACACCAGACATTCCGAATTGGGTAATCATAGGGGATTCATTGCATAGCAGCGATCTCAAGAGAAACTGGGGGACCAAACCTCTGTGTTCACTTCTGGCGCCGCGACAATCGTGGTCGCTGAGGGCACCGTAGGTTGGGGTTGGGTGGGCTTCGCCGAGTCATCGTCGCTAGACTCGTAGCCGGCGCCGAGTAATGATGCCATGATTGCTGCGATGGCTGTGATTCAGGGAAGAAAGAACAAATTAAACTTCCCCGATGCGGCGAGAAATGAAGTGGAAGCAAGCTTGGTTTCTACGATCGGCAGAAGTCCCACGCCCGACTTTTACGGAAGGCGGAAGCACCGCCCGCGCAAGATTCTCCGGCGGACAACCAACCCTACTATCTACTACTATCTACATAGCTGTGCTTCTACAAGGAATCAAGATATCGTACGCGCTCATTGTCACACCGCTGAGGTATATACAGCACCATTATTGAAGACATTAACAGGAAATTAGCAACATCAGAAACCCAAGGAAAGTACACTAAGCAAACAAGAACAACTCAAGCAGCCTCTCCGGCGTGCTGCTCCCAGGCGATCGGATTACCTCATCTATCGCCTATCTCTCTTCCGCAAACCTAAAAAAACATCAAGATCTTGAGACCTCACGCGTTCGCTGTCATCAATGATATGCTTTCATAGTCACGTCATATACAAGGTCTCTTCTGCTGCACGCGCCGGCACACCGACGACAGTGTCAAGCAGCCGGGACGAGAGGCGCAAGTTGCGTCGGGATACAGCAGCGAGACCGATACTCGCAGAACCATGCTCCGTCCAATCTTCCCTAGCCAAAGGAGAAGTCAAGACAATCGCACTATATGACACTTCAGCCCGGGCGGCCGTTGCGCAGTGCGTGTTCCGTCTTGCCACGAAGTCAGTGAGATTCGTCGCGGATCAGGGCGACGATCATGCTGTAGAGATAGAAGAAGAACATCAAAAGGTGGAAGCCCAGCTTGATGAAAGATTCCTGCAATGTGTGTCAGCGCTCGGTCCGCCTTAACAGCGGGATTGAGATAATGCAGTCTAACCTTCTTGTGCACGTTCAGCTTGCGGAAGATCTCGGTCGCATCCAGGAGGTGCTGGTTCTCGTAAATCCTGTAGAAAGGGCGGTTGTGTTAGTTGGGCTACACCATGGCGGAGCTGGAAGGACAGCATTACTTCTTAGCGTTGAACGCCAACAGAGGCAGGTTCAGGACGATGGCGACCCAGTAGCCATTGATGATGAACAGGAAGGTCAGGAAAGCGTGAACGGCGGCCTCGGGCACAATGTAGGCGTTGAGGCGGTTGCACAGATCAATGGGGTTGATGTAGTCACTGCGGGAGCGAACCGGGATGGTTAGCTGGTTGGGTTCCATCACGCTGTCGCAATCCATGGCGAGCTCCCATGCGGCTCACAAGAGCTCGTCCACGCACACGACAGATACCGGCGAGACAATAGGGAGGATATAGACAAGAACATACCATTCCAGATCGCTGTACATGATAGTAAAGAAGACCTGCAGGAACAGGTTGACGGCGTTAATCAACACCGCCAACAGATAGAGCCAGGCTTCACCGGACATGGTGGGCAAGATGGAAAAGAGATGCTCGAAAGACTCGAAAAGGGTGCTAACAAGAAGACAAGGGGGAGGAGAGGAGCGGAGAGGTGGCCGTGCTCGGGGGCAGGGAGATAGAACAGGAGGAAACAGAGGCGAAGGGGTGGAAGGTGAGAACTGAAGACGAAGGAAGTTGGACTTGATTGTGGATTCGAACCGATGGGGGAAAGCCGCGATTGGAGCTGGCAGGCGGTGAGGCTCTTCCGGGGGAGTGACCCGCGATCTGCTGTCAAGTCCGTGGAGTTGGTTACTGGTGACTTTACTTCCAATCTCGACTCATTATTACGACTTACTACTATCTGTCTGACACTGAAAATCAGGGTCATAACCCCAGTGTGCGCGAGAAAAGCAATTATGGCCATGACCGCGGACTATGCGCCTGTTGATGCTCAGCCGCTATCGGATACTAGTAATCGCGGCATCGGCCACTATTGCCAATCACCACCACTGCAGTATCGATTACGAAAGCTTTTGCTGCAGAGCTTAGCAAGCGTATGATATCAGTGATTGCAAAGGACTACCAGAATATGAAGGCTCAACTATCTAATAAACTCTATGTGAAATGGCGGTATGGGCACAGCATAGCATAGTATTTCTGCCATCACAAACACATGTCGATGACGTGGGGAAACACGTGCTTCCATCCGCATCTGGCGGCTTCTACTGGCCAGCCCGCAAGTCCGCATTATAGCATCACCATCACCAAGTATATGCAGTAGAAGCACCTTCAATAATTGACCTCTATTTACATAGATATAACCCATCATTAGCTAGCTAACGGTGCAATGGAGATATGTGGCAAGAACAGGACTAAAAAGCAGAAATAGAAAGAAGACGTCGTATCAGAATGCTCATCATGGAGTCAATACCAGTACACAAAAACAACCATAGCCCGTGGGCTGCATAATAGAACAAGATCAAGTGTGTCGGCATAGATGATTACCGGCACCTTTATCAGACTATCACCGCTTCTCAACTAGCAGAATATGCATCGCGCCATATGCGATTACGATGAATGCACCCGAGATGACGGCCAGTCCAATGACATCGGTCCACAGAGCTTGGGTATCAAATCCAAAAGCGCTCAGAATGGATGCACCGGGAACTTCAATGTCGAGGCCGTATTTATGATCAATCAAGGTCAGATACGTTACTTCATTGACGATCAGAGCCTCGAAGCCGTAGTGGAAGATGGAAAGCTATCAAGAGTCAGTAACTTGCACAAAACCTCTGTGAATACAGCAACAAAAGGTTCGTGGATACTCACAGTTTGCAGCCACAATGCAGACTTGGGAATGGCGTCGTGGTTGAGCAGGAGACCAGCGAAGAGCAGACTGAACAGCATCACCAAGCTCCCAATCAGATTGGCCACGCCTCCATCCCGGAAGATGATACCGATGAACAAGCAAATATTGGCGGCCGCTAGATTGAAGAGAACAAGTACCAAGATGAAACGGAAGAATTCGCCCCAAGCCGGGATCAAGCCAGTCATGGGATACACAATGATACCCATAATAATAGGAGGGAGAAGGCGAAGGGGCACAATGTCAAACACCACCTTGGCCGCAAAGTAGGTTATCGGGTGGTAGTAGCCATTAGCTCGCTCGCGTACAAATAGAAGCCGCTCCCCGGAGAACACCGTTAGACTGGTAAGCGTGCTAAATCCAAACAATGCGAGAATGAAGAAGAAAAGACCCAACCGATTCTGGAAGCCCTTGATGTCGTCGGTCAAGCCGTAGAAGAGGTAACCGCACAGAACAGCGAGCAGGATAGAAATGGCATAATGCGTGAGCATCAACATAGGGTTCCGATACAAGTTACGCCAGGTCCGTTGTGACAGGATCAGGAATTGTCGCAAGAGGCCAATGCGAGCGTATGTCTTGCCGGTTCCAGTAGGAGCAGACATCAGCTCGGGGTTGGTATACCCGTTCGCCACGCGTGCATGCTGTATGGCCGCTACGATCTCATCATGCACGGAGCGTGCGATGTCCGATGCCGCATAGTTTGCAACCAAAATGTCAAGGTCTGTCTGTCCGGGGGCCGCTGGGGGTATCTGATCAGGGTCATCCATGATTTGAGATGGAGCGGTGCCTGTTTGACGAGAAAGACGCAGCCATTGCTGATTTTCCTCGGCGGCATCATCCAAAGGCTCGTCTTCTTCATCGGTTTTCGGGGTAGGGGGAGCCTCTGGGTCCTTCTTGCGCGAGTAGAGCTGTCTGTCCTGTTTCTGTTTGAGGGAGACGCGCCGCTTACTCTTCGGTCGTCGGTTCGCATCGAAAGTACTGCTGCTATCCTCGAAGCTCGCGTTGGATGCACTAGCCACAGATTTGACGGCTCGCAGGCTGCTTGACGCCGTCTTAGGGGGGTCGACCCGTACATCTAGTAAGGGGGAGTTGATCTCGTCGCTGTGAGAGCGGGTCACGCTAGCGTGCATCGTGAGGTCGACAAGATAGTCAGCAATGTTGAAGCCTGGTGGGCAAGAGTAACCCGAATGGTCGAAGTATCTTTGGCAAGTGGAGAATGGTCCGGAATAGACGGTCTTTCCTTTAGCTAGGAGAATTAGTCGGTCAAATAAAGCAACAATGTTGGAGCGCGGTTGGTGAATAGTGAAGATGACAGTGCGATTGTATGTTTTTGCCAATGTCACCAAGCACTCAATCACATTGAATGCGTTGTATGCGTCCTATGTAGCTAGTTAGAAAAGCATAGTGTTAGTTGGGCTGATGTATCTTACCAATCCACTTGTAGGCTCATCCAAGAAAAGAATACTAGGGCTAGTAACCAACTCGCATGCGATGCCAACTCGGCGCTTCTCACCACCAGAAATTCCCCGACCTCTGCCTTCCTCAGATCCGATCAATTGATCCTTGATATGGGATATCCCAAGTTGCCTTTCAACTTCAAACACGCGCTGCTCCTTCGCAGCCCTGCTCATGTCTCGCGGCAATCGGAGCAACGCACTTGTCAAGATAGTCTCGTGCACAGTCAGGGTGGGGAGCATAGTATCTTCCTGATCTACAAAACCAATCATACTCTTGAAGTCATGGTCGCTGATCTTCTCCCCATTGACATAGAAATCGCCACGGACAGTACCCCGCTTGTTCTTCCGAGCAAGGATGTCAAGGAAGGTCGTTTTTCCTGCACCCGAGGCGCCCATGATGGCTGTGATCTGACCAGGCTGAGAAGAACCCTGAATGCCACTTAGAATCTCCTTTCCGTTCAAGTAGTACGAGACACTGTCCCAATACAAGGCCGCTGGTTTGTGTTCTGCCAGGAGCTTGGCCGCTTCGTCGTCCTCGTCGTCCGAAAGGGGCAGCTGAATGCGACCGAAATATGACCTGCGTGAAAGATACCATACAGACAGAATGACAGCAACGACGAAGAGGGCACATCCCGCGATAACGCCGGCGATAAGAGGGGTGTTGATCTGTTTGACCGGGCGCGTGTAGCCAGGAACATCTGTCCGATACAGACACTCGCCAGCATTGCAATTCAGAGTAATACTCTTGTCGCCAAAAACAGCTTTAATCAACTCGTCCATAGCTGGCTCCTGGAACGTGCTACCATCTTCCGGACTGCCACCCTCAGTGGAGATCGAGGAGAACGTAGCAGGTCCCGCGATTGACTCTCGGAGAAAGTCGCCGATATCGATAGATCCTTCCTCGCCACAAAGCATGCGTCCTGGGATACACTCGCAGTTGATGTTTTCGCACGTGTAGTGGGTTTTGTTCTGACTATGAGTAGTCTCCAAGCCCCATTGGCACTTATCCAATCCACAATAGAACGATTCTACCCGGCCCACCCAGAACTGAAAGTTGCAAGTCTGGTCTCCGGCCTCGCAAGAGAACGTCACCTGTGGCTTGCGCTCCTTGAGCTGATCAAGGATCTTGCGATTGGTCACGTCACACATCTGAAAGTTCTCTTTGACGGTAACACCCTGTTTGTAGCAAACACCCCCTTCACCTTCTGGCATCATCGCATTGCATGCATCATCCGTTTGGCACACGTTGCAGTTGATTCCTTCCCAGCCATCTTCGCACGAGCACTGGTCGCCCTGCCGGGGGGACCTCTGATGGCCATCGGCCAGCGACCCACACAGAGGCTGCGCGCAGTCATCGCCACCAAACCCTGGTGGACAGACACATTTCCCAGTGAATTTATCGCAGTCAGCAAACTGGGCGCATTGGAACGCGTCTAGTTGGCAGTTGAAGCACGGCGGGCAACCATCTGGACGATCGTCGAGTGCGGAGAAGAGCGGAGATACGAGGGCGGCCTCGGAGTAGTTGCTCCGTGCTGCGACCGTAGAGGCCGAGAGGGAGAGGGAGAGGGCGAGGGATAGCTGGAGTGACGATGGCAGCCGCATGCTGGCTCAAAAGTGCGAGAGCTGCCTTCGCACTTGAGTTAGTAGGTAGCTGGCAAGCTGATGGGCTGTCGGACCGAGAGACCGGGTGCGGAGTAAGCAGCGACGACAATGAACGCCTGAGAATCACAATAAAGGATAGCACATCTGGATACAATCTAAAGGACTGTAAGGCTTCCCTGACAGGTTCAGGAAAACAGACTATCCACCAACGTGATTGCACCGACAGAAACCACAACCTAAGAGCCACGAAAGGAGCGGTAAAGGTGGGTGGGAAGAGGAGAGGCTGGATGGGGAAACAGGTTGAGGCGATGACGAGGGCGGAGAAGCGCTAATCTGTGGCCTGACAGCCTGGGGCACCCACCCAATGATAGCCCGGCGCGATGTGGTATTATCGGGTACCTACCGCGACCTATGTTGCTTCAAAGTAACTACGGCATATATTGGTCTACTGTGGATCATACTGTCACCTACAGGGCGCGGTGGATATCATTAGGATGGCCTCGAATATATTCCGATGGTTCATGTTGACAGCAAGCGTAAATTAACCGGTCATTCGCTGGAATTGCCTAACTTCATCCACTTTCTCCTCCGTTTCACCCAATCGGGAAACCCCATATTCAACTCTCACGTGACTCGGTACCTGAATTCCACGCGATATAAAGGAAAAGCATTCCGACTCATTGAGTCATTGTTGAGCAAGGACCGTATTGTTGTTAGAAGTAAACGAGTGTCTGTCCTCAAAAAGCCTTCGCGATGGTTCACATCAAAGAGTTCGCCGTGGAACAAGTATGACCCCTCCCCAACCGGACAACCCCGCATATTTTAACTAGATGAAGCTAACCGTGCTACTCTGTACAAGTGGATGGACAAATATGAAACCACAGCCAAATACAATGTGGCGGAAACATGCTGTGCGTCAATTTCATTTAATGATCTCCGGGAGCTGTCGGAGGACAAGTCCGACCCGTTGGACCTGAGCATTAAGCTCACTTACGGAGCTATTCGTGGGTCGGAACGACTCCGGGGAAACCTGGCAAGGCTGTACTCCGATCAAACACCCTTGCCATCGGACAATGTCTTGATCACTGCTGGCGCCATCCAAGCCAATTTTCTCCTGCTCTATACTCTGGTTGGGCCCGGCGACCATGTTATTTGCCATTACCCCACATACCAGCAGCTCTACTCAGTCCCGGAATCGCTCGGGGCCGAGGTGAGTCTGTGGAAAGCCAAAGAGACAGACAACTGGAGGCTGGATATCAATGAACTAAAGAGTCTTATCCGTCCGAATACCAAAATGATTATCCTCAAGTTAGTAAACCCCTCGAATCCCACTGACCGGCTTCTCTGATCAAGATATTTCGCCTCACAGTAACCCTCAAAATCCTACCGGAGCGGTGATACCCCAGGAGACATTAAAGGAAATTGTTGAAATAGCTCAAAGCTCGTCCATCGTTGTCCATGCCGATGAGGTTTACCGACCGCTGTATCACTCTGTCGGGGAAGGCCAAGCCCCGCCATCGCTCCTGTCTCTAGGATACGAGCATACCGTAGTGACTGGCTCCATGTCCAAGGCATATAGCTTGGCAGGACTCCGTGTTGGATGGATTGCATCTCGCGACCGCTCAATTATTGAGGCCAGCGCCAGCGCCAGGGACTACACAACCATTTCTGTCGGCCAGCTGGATGATGCTATTGCCAGTTACGCGTTAGCCCCCGCGTGTGAGCCCAACCTCATTAAGCGGAACCTTGACTTGGCCCGCCGGAATTTGGCAATCTTGGAGAAATTCATCGAGTCACATCGGTGGGCATGTGACTGGGTTAAGCCGCGAGCAGGTACCACGGCATTTGTGCGTTTTAACAACCAAGGCCTTCCAGTGGACGATGTAGCCTTCTGTGAACAACTGCAGGCCAAGATTGGGGTGATGTTTGTCCCTGGAAGCTCATGTTTTGGGGAAGGAGAGGATTATGAGGGATATGTTCGGATTGGGTATGTGTGTGAGACGGAGGTGTTGGAACAAGCCATGGAGGCGTTGCGATCATTCATGGATGGGGAATATAGGAACGTGCCGGTGAGGAGCAGCCGGACTTAGAGATCTGCTGAGTAAGTTAGAGAATAATCTCAATAGTTAGCCAAGCCAAAGCTGCATGTAGCATGCATTGACCGGAGAAAGGTGAAATCAGGTACAACCCGTGCATCAATAAGCCCGTGCATCAACCCGAACATCAAACTTACTTAATCAATAAGTCCGGCCATACTTAGTTATTGCTTTTGGTGTAGTAGCAATGGATGGAATTAGCCCCAACGAAGGCTTATTTTCGGTTATTCCCACACTCTCCACGGACCCATTGGCCGGTTCAGCCACCAGCCAACTTGGCGAGTCTCCACCTGATCAACTGGTTTCTTGTTGGACCATTGAATAACAATAATTCCAGGTTAGTGGAGACCGTGACCAGCTTCATTTGATGCACAACCCATCATTAGCGCTTGTTCCGTCCAGCCGAGGTAACTCTGTTCACCCGCTCCTCTCATACTTACTAGTACTTAAAAGGTGAATTGAATGACAAGGATCTTGTTGGCTCAGCCTCATGGCTGTCAACTAAAAGCTCCATCGATGCCAACTCGTGCTCCAACAGTTTCTTTGTTCCTCTGCTAGTATTTAATACCCCGCGCGCATCCTCATTTCGGGCTCATCTGCTCGTCTCCTCACTTCCCTTCCTTTTCCCTTACCTTCCGGTGACCACCACCGGGCAGACCATACTATCAGTGTGCCGCTTCTTCCCAACCATCCTACGTAATCAGTCAAAATACCTCCCAAAATGTCTGCGATACCTGGTCTGTGAGCTCCCTACCATAATTATATATGAAGTATAGCTAGAATTCCGGTACTGACTAGATGATCTACCAGATCTCCCCGTCCCTCTCCCGATCGCCGGTTCGGCGCTGGTAGCCACGCTCGCATATCTAAATGCAAAATTCTCTCTATTCCAAGACAAGCATTCAATCTCGTCCATGCTCAGTATAGCTAGTAACTCCAAGTCCTCTGAGCGAACCGACCGGGTCAATTTCTTCTATGTTCTGGAGCAGCATGCCCGCGATCCGAAAACCAAGGATCGGCCGTTCATCGTCTACAATGGACAAAGCTGGACATATCACGAAACGTACGTGCTGGCGCTGCGCTATGGCACCTGGTTCAAGCAGGTTCACGGAGTCAAGTCCCGGGAAGTCGTCGCCATGGATTTCATGAACTCCTCGACGTTCGTCTTTATCTGGATGGGTCTCTGGAGTATTGGCGCTGCGCCCGCCTTTATCAATTACAATCTGACAGGGCAGCCTTTGACACATTCGGTTCGGGCCTCAAGCGCACGACTGCTACTCGTTGAAGATGAGCTTCGCCAGAAATTCACGTCCGAACAACTAGAGCTGTTTGCTTCTCCTGACTTCCGGGACGGAGGTGATTCGGTCAATCTGGTCTTCTTCACCCCAGAAGTCGAGGCTCAGATCCTCGGAATGGAGCCTACGCGGGAGGACGACACAGCTCGGAGCGGTACTCAGCTGCGCGACATGGCCACGCTGATCTACACCAGTGGAACTACCGGCCTGCCCAAGCCTGCGATTCTTCCTTGGAGGAAAGTCTGGGCTGGTGCTGTAATGACCAATACCTGGCTGAAGATGACCAAGGATGACCGGATGTTCACGGTACGCTTCTTTGATACTCTACTGTCTCTCAACAACACTAATCCCATCATAGTGCATGCCTCTTTATCACTCATCCGCAGCCATCCTCGGTCTCATGCCGTGTTTGTGGACAGGATCGGCCTTGATCATCGGTCGCAAGTTCTCTGCTCGCAGCTTCATGCGGGAAGCCGGGGAGAATGATGCAACTATCGTGCAATACGTGGGTGAAACCATGAGATACCTCTTGGCAGTACCGCCCGCCATCGATCCCGTCACCGGGGAAAACCTAGACAAGAAGCATAAGATTCGCCTGGCTCTAGGCAACGGTCTGCGTCCAGACATTTGGAACCGGGTGAAGGAACGGTTCAATATCCCTACGATTGCCGAATTCTACGCCTCTACCGAAGGCCCAGGCGGCTTGTTCAACATCTCCTCCAACGACTTTACTGCGGGTGCAATTGGCCGTAGCGGGTTTCTCACCAGCATGATCATCGGTCGCAGTGTCGCCATTGTTGAAGTTGACCAAGAAACCCAACAACCCTGGCGCGACCCCAAGTCCGGTTTCTGCAAGAAGGTCCCACGGGGCGATCCGGGCGAGTTGCTATATGCACTCAACCCGCAGGATCCCGGAGAGAACTTTGTCGGTTATTACAAGAACAACAAAGCCACGGATGGCAAGATACTCCGCGACGTGTTTCGCAAAGGTGACGCCTACTACCGATCCGGAGACTTGATCCGATGGGACAAAGACGGTCGGTGGTACTTTTCCGACCGTCTAGGTGACACCTTCCGATGGAAGAGCGAGAACGTCTCCACCAGCGAGGTGGCCGAGGTGCTGGGCGTGCATCCGGAAGTGCACGAAGCCAACGTCTACGGGGTGGCGTTGCCAAATCATGACGGTCGTGCTGGCTGCGCTGCCATCGTTCTTCAGCAACAGACACGCTCTGAGGATCAGACAGTGGTTCTCCCTCCATCTGAAGAGAGTCTAAACAGCCTGGCTGCGCATGTGGTGAAGAATCTTCCGCGTTTTGCTGCTCCACAGTTTCTCCGAATCACGGCTGAGATGCAGGCTACGGGGAATAACAAGCAGCAGAAGCATACTCTCCGGACACAGGGAGTGGATCCTGCGCTGGTTCCGGCGAGTGACCGGATGTACTGGCTCCAGGGGAACCAGTATGTGCCGTTTGAGGCGAAGGATTGGGACCGACTACAGGCTGGGCAGGCCAAGCTGTAGCTGGTCCAGTTAGTGTTTTCTGGATACTAGTAGATAAGTGTCGATATCAATAGCGCTGTATCTTGTTAGTAGACATGTGTCATCTTTGCTTAAGTTCATGTGCTGTAGTTGTTGTGAATACTACATCATGGTTGTCCTGGTACATAAGCGTGTGTGAAATGTGAAACGGGAATTATATTTCGGCGCATACTAGTAGTCTATTAATATGATATAATGAGTAATATCAGATATCCTCTCAAAAGCAGCGTTGAAAGGTACCAAACTTGAAAGCTCCTGAATATATAGTCTCCAAAACAGGGATATGTAGATAGTAGGTCATCAGTCAATCAACCACTGGGATGATCCCATTGGCGCTATATGATAGATAACCCTTACAGTATCTCGATCCCGAGGAGGACATAAATGGAAACAGACAAATCAGATCATTCTAAGCCATTAAGAGAATATATTACACATAATACCGGAAAGTCCTTCGTAGCTAGTTGGTCAACATAATTCAAATACCACTTTCTTCCACCTGATCCTTGAACGATTTCAAGAGCTTCGCGGCCGCCATATGCCCATTTTTCTCAGCCAATTCCACGGCGCGCCGATATTGCCGCTCCCCATCATTGCCTACCAGCGATGCTCCTTCGTCAAGAAGTAACCGAAGCATGTCAATTCGACCGTGCTCTGCCGCTCCCTCCAAAGCTGTTCTGCCATTGGATTGTGCAGGAGCAGCATTAACGTCTGCGTCTAGGTCGATGAGCTTGCGAGCGATTCCCAGGTAGCCTTGAATGGCGGCAATCTGTAATGCGGTAGCTCCGCCATTCTCTGATGGTGCACTGTTGACATTGGCTCCGTGGTCAAGAAGGAAATTGATCAGGTCCATGTTTCCGTTGTTCACCGCATGTTGTAGCGCCGTGCGTCGACCCTCGCACTTCCCTAGTTTGTCCAGAACTAAGAGTCGCAGTGCACTGGCAACAGTTTCTCTGCTATGGCCTTCTGCGGTGGGCTCTCGAGTTGATAACAAGGTCTCGATGTGCTTCATAGTCTTCCAGCCAGACGCGTGGAACAACTTCATCACATTCCGATCATGGGCAGCCATAGTTCTTTTGGATTTGCCAGTTGGACCGTGGGATACGTAGCCATTAGACAACAAGAATAGTTCCAAGTTAAGACTCTCTGGTGTCGTTCGTAGAGTGTTGCACAACCTTGTGGCGAGGGTACGATGCTGGCCACCGAACTCTTCCGGCATCAGAATACTAAGTCCAGTCACTATACGGGAAAGGCTATTGATGTTGGGTGGATGGGACAACGTCTTCCAAGGAATTATAGAGCCTAGTCGTTGCATCAAGTCTCGGTTGATGTTGTTTGTTAAAGCACCAGGGGATTGTGGCGATGTCGCGGCCAGGGCGGACGATAGCGACGGTAGATCTATACAACCGTTCAGGTCATTTTGCAGAAGGGGAGTGGAAATAGCCCCAGGAACATACTATGGTCTCGTCCAGGCTTGGGAAGCTTTGCAAATTGCAGCCATGGAAGGGAGTGATTCCAAATAAGCCGCATGCCCGGCGTTGAAGGAGTGCAGACAACAATTCCTTCTGGAGTGCTGGGAGAAGGAGCTAAGACTCTATTAGCTGCCTGGGGTTCATGTGAGCAGGATAATATGGGAACACGCTGAACAGACCATTTGGGAGGTTATCCACCGTCGAAACAAAGGTTTTACTGTATCGGGACTTTTTCAGCTTGCTTGGGGGATATTGAACCCCGTCGACATACACTTCGCTCTCTTTCTGGTGTTCCCTCTTTCTCTTGTCGATTCGCCGCCCGATGAACTTGCCTTCCGCTGGGGTCAGAAAATGATTTTTTCGCAGGTCCCCTCTCTTGAACTATTCTTTCGTACTGTGACTTTCTGTTTTGATCTGAGATCGTATGTGTCTGTATGCGCAGCAGGGTAAGAATGTACTGACCTTTCATCGAACCCGTACTTAGTTTGTATATACTAACTAGTACCTGACTTCGCTTAATTTACGGCCTTCATTAGAGACGCTTCGGTTCGGGCCGGTAGGACTCCCAGATGGTGTCAGCCATGCTTGGATGTTGTAGTCTTGTGTCTGAGAGCTAGCAGGAAAAGCGTTCTTTCTGGTGAAAACCAATTTGTAACTTATGGCGATAAAAGGCTAGGCCCACATCGGCCTGGTTTGCCAAAAGGGACCAAGTACTAACACGTAGACCCACTAGAGAAGTAGTAGGCCCTGACGGGTGGATGCGGAGGAACATCCTTAGATTCCCTACACCTTTTTTAGCCCTGCCAGGGGGCTGCACGAATAGAAAATCGATGTCGGTGGAGCGCAGCCAATCAAAGCCTTGCCTGTGAGGACTAGGGGGTCCCGAAAATCTTGGCTTGATAGACCGTGTGCTTATATTGATCATCAACTTGTGCCCGCGTAAGCCGATCTATACTGGAACACACAGGACGAAGGCCCCGTTCTAGGATATATAAGGGCACCTTTTCCAATGACCTCTTGCCAAATTCAAACATCAAAGCACACATTGAGACTTGAATCATCTCTTTCACCATTACCATTACCCATCCGAGTTCATCATGGAGTGGCCGACCAGTTTTTCTCTAGGGCTCCAAGAGGATACTACTAGTACTACTGCTGGTACTCATCCGGACTGCCTCCCCATCGGTCAATACCTCTTTCCCCAGTCATCAGCCGCACCAATGTCCCAGCCAGACTCCTCCATCTTTGCAAATCACCCCTATGGAGCCTTTACCTCGATTGCTGGTCCACCCCGTAGTATTGAACCTCGTGTTTGCACAGTCAATCCGACGGGGGCTCTTTCAAGTGACAGAAACATTCCACCACAAGGCGGTGTGGCGCAGACTGCCCAAGCGCCTTTTGCCTATGATGAAATACCTGCCGAGTCACTTGATTTGCTGTATGCTTCCACTCGTATTACTGGTGGTCAGCCCCTGCGACTACCAGTAGACTGGAAGGATAGCAGTGCAGACACGAACCCAACCTGGCTTGCCCCCAATAGCGCCGCGATCAGCCACCAGCTACACCCAGCTCCGGGAAGGTATGTGGCCCGCTTTATCTACTATCAACATGGCACATTTAACGATACCATATCTGAGCAGTAGAATCCCTCGTGCCCCTTCTAGTGCTCATAGCCCACCAAAATTTGAGTGCAAATGGGAAGGCTGTTCCAGCTCCACACGTTTCAGCACTGAAGGGGACCTTGTCCGCCATCTTAAATCGATCCATATCTCCCCCGATGCGTATTCCTGTTTAGTTTGTGGCCAATCTTTTGGTAGGAAGGATCACCTCCGTTACCACCAGAGACGCCGTCATTGTTGCTTGGTCTGAGATTCTCTGTTTATCATTCGTGTTTCATGTTGGAGTTCCCTGCAATATTCTCCTCCCATCGCTCCTCTTCCACTTCTTCCACTTCTTTTTCCTTTCTTATATCTACTCCGTACTATTTATATATACCTTTTCGGGGCCTTATCAGCTGCTTTCTCATTTCATGTCTTCCTTATTCTTATCTGATATATATTCATTGTGAAGAGAGCAATATAATGAAAAAGAATTCGATTTTGTATCATCGGCGCAATTTTGATGAACAGTATCCAAGGGACATATAGTTCTTTCGTTTCCACTATCTACTTATTCAACAAATTTACCGTACCAACTATTATGGGGAAGTCGAAGAAACAAAAGTGGGGTACCCATGTCCACATAATCTACCCGTTCGGCCACCATTCAGCGTGACACTAGGCAATTATATTGGCAGTCTAATCTTGGCAAGAAATATCGGACAGCCGCGTTGGACAGCTATCAAGTGGTTTGGGTAGTCAAGTTTACGGAAAATCTAATTATCCCTACGCAGCGCAGCCCCTTCGCGATGTATCTTAATACATGATTATATCAGCGGCATAGACATTACGTTCATATATTCGTGGATTTTTGAATAACTACTACTACCGTAGGTCATGGTTCCCACCCTTTCTAACTGTTGTCGCCACTGGGGTAAACCAAATGCTGCTTCATATCTTCAGATCCCGATATATATATCTTTCAAGCATCACTGGCCTATATTTTCTTCCAATACTTTGTCGTGTGGGACTTCTGAGAAAATGTCCCATGCATGACCAGGTGTAGCAGAACTCTTTCCTAACATAATTTCTATTCTATTCATAAATTACCGAATAGAACTTCAAGTATTTTGAGATCTGCTGAGGTCAGTACTACCGCACCATAAATCTTCATAACAGAGTTCGGCATCATCTCTCGCAGACCGAGAGAATACGGCGGCTAAATGGCGGAGCCATAAAGGCTACTCGGAACACAGCCTCTCGATCCCGGTCTCGGAAACGCCCCCAGTGACCCGAGGTACAAAACCCCAGCCCTTCCGAGACAACGCCCTGTTAAGCTCCCCTCTCACTTCTTCCACAATAACTCCAACCAAAGCAAAGCAACATACACCCTCATTCACAATCACAATAAAACTCATACCACGATGTCCCTCCCCTCCCTAGCCCGCTATTCCACACGACCCCTCCTCCGCCCGCAATCCCTCCCTCCGCAACTCACCCGCGCATTCTCCAACCGCCCAGCCCTCCGCACCTCCGCATCCGCATCCACCATCGCAACATCCTTCCTCACGCGCTTCCAATCCCTCGGCCCACAAACCCGCACCCAAACCCTCGACGCGAACCAACTCCAGCTCCTCTCCCTAACACTCAACCGACCCTCCCTATTCCCCAACTCTCCATCCCTATCCAACACCCCGACCTCCCTACCCACCGGCACGCCCTTACCCGCCGGCTACCACCTCGTCTACTTCACCCCCGCATTCCTAGAAAATGAGCTCGGCGCGGACGGCACCGACACCTCGTATAACCCTGCGTCGCCGTTCACGCGCCGCATGTGGGCTGGCGGGGAGGTACATTGGCCGCGGGGGAAAGATGGGAAGCCGAATTATCTGAGGGTGGGACAGGAGGTGCAGGAGACGACGAGGGTGTTGAGTGCGGAGCCAAAGGTTGTGAGGAAGACCGGGGAGGAGATGATTGTTGTGGGGGTAGAGAAGGAGTTTCGGAATGAGGATGGGGTGGCGGTTTTGGATAGGAGGTGAGTAGGAATTGTTCTTTTGTGAAGTTGGGGATGGTGCTGATAAGAATGTATACAGGAACTGGGTCTTCCGCAAAGCTCTAACTTCGCCGCCGCCTACGAGTTCATCTACCCCTCCAGCGACAAAGGCGTTCAACGGTCCAGCTAGTTCATCTACCCAGACGAGTGACAATGTGCACACGCGCACGCTGCGCCAAACGGCAGTGACATTGTTCCGGTTCTCCGCGTTGACGTTCAACCCGCACAAGATCCATTACTCGACGCCGTGGGCGAGAGATGTCGAGGGGCATAAGGATATTGTTGTGCATGGGCCGTTGAATCTCATTTCGATTCTGGATTTGTGGCGCGATACGAGGAAGAATGAAGGTGGGGAGTTAGTTCTCCCGGAGAAGATCTCGTACAGGGCGACCAGTCCGTTGTATGCGGAGGAGGAGTATCGGATTGTGTTGGAGGATGGAGGAGACGGAGTCGGGAAGGTGCAGATTGTTGCGCCGGGGGAGGTGGTGGCTATGAAGGCGGAGATTCAATAGAAATACACGGAGTAGTAGAGTAGTTGTGTAGATATTTGGTCTTTTTGGCTGCTGAGAGGGGGTATACTGTGATTACTATAGCTATGTGCAGATGATGTTACACGAGAATACTATGTAAATGAAGTACCCCAAAATAGAATCATAGCAATCATATACTGTAAGTACTATTCTTCTAAACATGTACCGTGACCTAACTTCTCTAACTCGTCTGCTCCACTCCACCCCCAAAATAGGGTTCGGGCTTAAGCTCCGGAGATAACCACTCCACCCCCCATCCTTATCGCCATCGCGGCAGCCTCCACTCCACCTCAATTACACTCGAACTCAACTTCACATTCACTATCTATTTACCACAGCTACCCCACGCTCCACACATCCCCCCTTGTACTTGGTACATAGTAGACCCACTGCATACTCCACTATCCCACGAAACATACGGGAATCAAACGGACATGGAGAAGAAACGCACCCGCGTGCAACTCTCCTGCACAGCCTGCCGAGCCCGCAAGTAAGCACGCGGCGGCCCCTCCAATCCCACATTACTCACTCTACCTCCAGCGATCAACACCTACTATTCCATGTATAACGCATACCAATAACAATAATTTATGCAATAGGTTAAAGTGCTGCCGCACGCACCCCTGCACAAACTGCCTGAAGCGCGACGAAGCCGGCACCTGCACCTTCATCGGGCGCGGCCCGCGCGGCAAAACCTCGAGTAATGGACGGACCAGCCCGACGCAAGTACAGGATCGGTTGCAGCACTTGGAGAATTTGATTCTGTCTTTTACGCAGCAGCAGCAACAGCAGCAGCAGCAGGAGAGGTCAAATAGTGTGAGTGAACACCAACAGGTGGTTAAGAATGGTGGTCAGATTACGCCGGTATCGTCGGTGCCATCGTCGTTGGCATTTGGGGAGGTACAGCAAGCACAGGAGGGGGAATCGGAAACTCCGCCTCCTGATCCCGGGAGGTTGGTGGTTAGGGAGACGGGCATGAGGTATATTGATGGGGCGCATTGGAGTGCGATTCTAGAGGAGGTGAGGCTGTTCTTTTGTTTGATCAAGCTAGGCGAGGCTGATTATGATATGCAGATAAGTGGGGTCAAGGAGTATCTAAGGGATAATGAGGAGATGGGATTGTCGGATGAGGAAGTGGAAGACGAGGAGATGGTGAGGCCGTCGAATGCGCCAACGCTATTACTTGGGCTGCACCAGGAAATGACCATGGACGAGCTTTTGGACGGGTTGCCGGCTCGGCCGGTCGTGGATCGCGTCGTGGCTATGTTTGTCGGCCTCATGGAGCCGACGACAGGTAGGTGTCGCTGTTGTATCAGTCCTTGATAGGTGATGCTGATGGAATTAGTGATGTTGCACTTTCCTACTTTCCAGAAACAGGTATGCTAGCTCAATTGAGTGGGAGATGCAAAGGATGCTGCTGACGTGCGCAGTATAACCAATTCTGGCAAAGACCTAAGGAAGTTTCCATTTCTTGGCTGGCACTGCTGTACGCGGTTCTCACCATAACAATGTCCGTGTATATGCGCACCGGGGAGCCGCTACCGGCAGAATTCGGGGAAGCAGATGAAGCCGTTCAGCGTCTCAGGCAATTGACTGCGCAGTGTCTAGTACAGTCGAACTACACCGTTCCGGGGCGTTTCAAAGTGGAGGCTCTGTTTTTCTACACAATGTGCGAATTCTTCCGCAGCGAGGATGCCCAAGTCGGAGTATCTTTTCTGCTGAACATGGCAATTCGACTTGCTATGCGTTCAGGGTACCACCGGGATCCGCAACACTTTCCGAATATCTCACCATACGAAGGCGAGATGAGGCGGCGGGTCTGGGCTATCATGCGTCAACTGGATGTTTTGATCTCGTTCCAGGTTGGGGTCCCGCGGGGTATACAGGACTGGCAGCAGGACGTGGAGCTACCGCGTAACATCTCTGATGAGGAATTCGGGGAGTCTACCGTCGAACTGCCGCCATCTCGACCCGAGACTGAACTCAGTACAACTGCATATATCCGCGGAAAGTCACGACTTATGGCCGTATTCGGGAAGATCTCTGATTTAGCGTACTCGCGCGATCCTATGACATATGATGACATACTGGCCCTGGACCGACAGCTGGAGGAAACTCGGGACCTTGTGCCCACTGCATTCAAGATACGCCCACTTGACCAGTGCTTCGTGGATCCATCATACCTGATCCTGAGACGATACACATTGGAACTTTTGTACCAGAAGGCCCGCTGTGTGCTGCACCGGCGCTACCTGGGCGAGGTGCATACCAATCCCCGCTATGCCTACTCGCGTCAGGTTTGCATGAGTGCTTCCAAGGAGATCCTCCGTCACCAGGCGGATATCTACCACGAGACTCAGCCGGGTGGACTTCTTTACCGCGACCGACAATTCCCGAACTCACTTCAGACCGCAGATTATTTGCTTGCCGCGATGATCATCTGTCTGGATCTGTCGCAGAACCCTACCGGCACACCGACGGGAAGCACGGACGAGGACGTAGCGGCAGTCATCCGGAGCCGGGAGGAACTGCTAGCGACCATTAAAACGTCACATCGGATATTTGAGCAGCAGCGTAGGCGATCGGCAGATGCACAGAAGGGATATGTGGCACTGACAATCATGCTGCGGCGAATTAATTTCCAGCAACAGGAAAGCCAACAACTGACTTCCGGTAAGTGGCACGGGATAATCCGAAGTACATTGCTAATGAGTGCAGCACAACCACCACCATACGGAAGTTGGAATGGGCAGCCATACTCAATTGGAGTGGATCCAATGGGCATTACCCCAGAGTATCAGTCACTCGATGTTATCGGAGAGATGCTCGATGCGCCAACCAATCTCGACTGGGTAAGTGAGCCGCTGCAACTAATAATTGAAACTAGCTAACAGGCGTAGAATCTCTGGGATCAGCAGATGCAAAGTGCCGCCAACGCGGATGTGGGGTTATGGGGGGATAATATATCAGAAGCTGTAAACATATAGAAGGGAAGGATCGTAGTAAACCACAGCGGATGTGTCAACCGGGAGGAACCCGAGATAAGCTCGGGGGCGGAGATCCGCTCGGAAGCCGACAAAAAGTCCACCCAAAGTTGAACCACCATTCTACCCTCTACGCAGACCAACCACTGATATACTCAAATTCCACCACCACGTTGCACTAAACACTACACATCCACAATGATGCGACCACCGATACCACGCAGCCTCTACAACCGGGTCTCTCTCCCACGAGCAGCGCATCGTTCCCTCTCCACATCAGCCTTCTCCAAGCACCTCTCTCACCACTCAACAAATAACACCAACAACCTACGAACCACCAGACTAACAACCTCACTCTCCCAATCAACGATCCAAAAACGACCCTTTCTCTCCTCCTTCCTCCCCAACTCCGACTCCGCCTCCAAAACCCGCCACCTCACCGCGACCCGAACGCTCCCACACGCTCCCGCTCCCCTCTTCGACATCATCTCCTCCGTCGAATCCTACTCCTCCTTTCTCCCCTTCCTAACCGCCTCAACCGTCACCCACCGTGACCCAACAACCAACTACCCGACCCGCGCCTTCCTCACCGTCGGCTACGGGCCCCTCAGCGAAACCTTCACTTCCAAGGTGACCTGCGATGCGGAGAACTGGGTCGTGGAGGCGCAAAGCGGCGCCAAGTACGGCGTGGGCAAGAAAGACGGACAGGGATTTCCGGGTGAGGATGAGGGGCTCTTCGAGTACTTGAGTACACGGTGGGAGTTACAGAGTCAGGGTGAGGGTAAGGGGACGGTTGTGAAGCTGGATATCCGGTTTGAGTTCCGCAGTCAGCTGCATGCTGCTATGATGGGCGCCGTGGAGGGACAGATGGCTGGTGTTATGGTCGAGGCGTTTGAGAAGAGGATTTATGATGTGTTGGGAAGAGCTTGAGCTTTCTTTCTATCCCTTTGTGGATTTATTATTGATGCATGAGGTGGACAGGATGTATTATGATATTGTTGTGGAGGGAAAGGAAAGGGATATGATACACATCAGTGCATACATAGAATATGGAATAGAAGCTACACATTGTATAATACAGTTTATCACATGAACAAAAAAGAAATGACCGGAAAAGAGAATAAATCACAGCATGCTCAAGTTCCGTCCAGCATTAGCCGCATTGCCCTTAACCGGCCCAACCGCATTGTAGTTGTCGAACACCACCTCCCAGTTAATCCGATCCCACCAGCGCTCCAAGTACTCCGCCTTACCGCCAATGCCGTAGTCCATCATCCACACATGCTCCCATGTGTTCACACACAGAATAGGCTGGACGTCCAGAGCACCCGGCGCCATGTTCTTCTGGTTAGCCGCGTGCGCACCCATCGCGCCAGCGTACTGGTTGCCCAGCGGCGCGTCCGGCGAGTGTGTCGCCATATCGACCGGTTGCCTCCGCGCATGAGCCGCCGGGTAGGGAGAGCCAGCGTTATACGTGCAGAAGATGTGCATCAGACCCTCCCGCTCGAGGTTCTTGGCCAGCCAGACGAAACCGGGGCCGAACATGGCGTTGGCGGTGGCCAGGAAATCGAGTTTCAGGGATTCGATCGAGGAGCAAGTATCGACGATGTCTTTGGCGAACTTTTCGGGGATCTGAGTTTGTTGGGGGGACTAGCACAGGTGTGTTAAAAGCTGGGATTGACACAACTCGACCTTGGTACACTCACCAGGCAGTTGAAGAAGAAGTGGTTGTTGTGGGCCATCGAGGCATAGTTGAACACGGACGCCATCTCCGGTCGGCGGGAGTACTTGACCAGCAGTTCTCCGGGCTTTGCGTCGGCGTCGACGGTGTCTGTTGCAGTGGAAAGACGATGGTGTCAGTTTCATACCAGCGGAGTTTGAGCTGCACTGCAAGGAAACTAACCCTGCGTCATCAGGTTCAGCTTGTCAATGAGCAGACCCTGGTATTGCGTCCAGGCAAAATCGAACGCCTCAGGCGATAGCAGCTCCGGAATGCCATTGTTCTTGAAGTACTGGTCGTTGGTTAATTGGGGCACGCGGTGCAGGCTCCGGATCTGAAAGCGTGGGAGCGCGGAGACGGGCTTCTGGCGGAGGTCAGGTTGGTTAGCTATGAGCCCACCCCGGGCATTGGGATGGGGTCAGCTCACCTGGGAGAAGGCGGAGGCAGCACGCAGCGCGGACTGCGGCCGGAAGAGGCGGTTCAACATGATGATGGGGGATTGGACAGGCGACAAGATGGCGAGCAACAAGCGGTTGATTTCAGGACCACCGCAGAATTTCCCGTTCGGCCTTCAGAACTCACCTCTTTCGGGTCTAGCGCTGGTTAGGTAAGCGGGCGCCAGCTCGGCCAATCAACATGCTGCGATTTACTTCGGCAGCATTTCAGCCATCATGATCTTCTTCTTCTCGCTTCTTCATCGCTCAACTTGCTCTACGCGCCGGGCTCTGCAGGAGCTCTGGTCGGGTTTAGAATGACATGGCCTGTCGTTGATCGTCGCCTTCCCGTGGCTCCTCCCGGCGCCTATCTCAACCACCCTCATTAGCCCTCGAACCATGCGCCCCATCTGCTGTGCTATTCTGAGACCCGGCGCCTGCAGCTGTGGATGTTTGTATCATGATGCTGCAGAATGTCGGGCAGCAGGTAGCGCTGGGTGGTTAGAATGGGCGCTTCCTGGTCATCGTTGGGGGTTGATGGCAAATGCCTTTGTAAGTCGCTCATTGTTCTTTCATCCTTTCTTTCACTCATTGACACTGTTGCAAAGTTCTTGTCTCATACTTTCTTTCATAGACAGCTTTCCTCGCTTAGCCGAAGTCTACGCAAGCCTATATTTAATTTTCTTCATCTCATCTATCTATTGTATTGGATTAGAGTCGGATCGCAATGACAAGGCCACAGCTTTGTTCCCTCATGAGACGGCCCTCCATGATACTGCTCCTCGCCCTCATTGCTTCGACGGTATCGCCAACGCAGGCCTTTGGCTTACTGCTACGAAGCTCCGACTCGTGTCCAAGCAACTATAACAAGTGTGCAGACAGCAAGTTGCCGGATGATTTCTGCTGCTCTAGCTCGTCAACATGCATCAGCCTGGACGACTCCAGCTCTGCTATCTGCTGTCCCAGCGGACAGAGCTGTGACTACATCGAAACAATAACCTGCGATGTGCAGCTCCAGAATGCAACAGCACATCCCAAGAACTCTGTCAAGACGACTCGGCTGGATGATTCCCTCCCCAAATGTGGCGACAAATGCTGTCCCTTTGGCTACACCTGCACAGGAGACTCGCTCTGTGCCATGAACACATCCAGTGCATCCACCCTCAGCGCCAGCCAGTCATCCACAACATCCACAACAGGGACCACATCCTCCACAGGAACCATCACCTCGTTCACAACCTCCGCCTCTACAACCGATGCCTCAAACCCCACCATCGTCCCAGTCACGACTGGCTCCTCCAAGACTGCCATCTCTGACAACAACGGCAGCAGCGCCAACGGCACCTCCTCAGCAGCCGCACTATCCTCCAAAGCCACCTGCCCATCCTACCCAACGAACGCCATCATAGCAGGCTTCTTCCCCGGGGCCATCTTCGGCGCTGTCCTAGCCCTTCTAGCCGTCTTCCTCTACCGCAAACACCAGCAGAAACACCAACCCCCCTCAGCCAAAGTAGCCCAATTCACGCGCCGCTCCTCGAAAGGCACCCTCATCGGCATCTCCTCCCCAATCCCCTCCGACGAGACCTCCTACCGAACGGACTTCCTCCTCCGCCGTAACCGCAACACAAAGCGATACTCCGAAGGCGCTCGCTCACGCATCCAACGCACCGGGACCCGAGTCCGGAGTCTCTTCAACCCCAACAATGCTCCTCCCCTACCGAAGACCAATCCCGCAAAGACCCTTGTCCCAGAGCACGGCGGTGGAGCAATGCACGCTCGTGTACCAGTGCCTGTTCCCCCGTTACCTATCTCCGTGACGCCGTTGCAGCCTGGACGAACGCCGTCGAAGAAGACACTGGCCCGTACGGAGAGCATTAGGGTGTATACACCGCCAGGCGTGTTTGCTACAACGGGTGTGTTGAAACCGGAACCGTATCCGACGCATATAAGAACGGAGGGGACGTTTGATGATATGGAGAAGTGATATAGTACTTTATTGTTTTCTACATGTCTCGAGATGCGTCGTATTTATGTGATTTATGAGGTTTTATAAAGTAATGGGGTGGTACATTGTACTCAGTATGTTCTTAAGTCTTTAAGATACCTTATAGCTAGTTATTTACCTATATTTGAACTTCTGCAATAAACACCATGCAATATATTTAAGGATCTAAAATACTATACATACACGAAACCAAACACACCTACTGAAAGGTATAATCACCTCCTCTCCTTCCAAGCACTCACTACCTTCTTCACCTCCTTCAACAACCCCACAATCAGCGGTACTCCCACGGGCCCCAGCAGCGGCAAATACACCGCCACCTTATGCTCATCGGGGAAATACATTTGGCCAACCATACTCTTCTCGAAGAAGCTGCGCTCGGCCTCGGCCTCCGCGACACGGGCACTTGCCAGGGCGGCCTGGAACTGGCCGTGGCGGAGATGGTCGCACGCGGAAGAAAGATGAGAGAGCGTAGTAGAGACTGAGGTAGCCACTGTAGCGGGGATAGGGATCTGGGGGAGGGATTCGGTGAGACGGGCGAGGGAGCCCATGGTTGAGGAGGCGGAGAGGAGGAGAGAGGCCGCGCGGACGCGGGTGAGGGTCTGAAGACGGAGAGGAAGAGGCGGAGGGGTGGAGGGGGCGCCGAGGAGGGTGAGAAGTTGGTGGGAGAAGGTCATGAAGGCCGGGCCGAGGGTTTCTTTGGTGAGGTGGGTTGGGTGATTAGGGGGGTTGAGGAGGAAGACGCCGCCCCATTGGGGGATGATCCAGCTGGTTGCGAGGCTGTCTTTGACGACGAGGGGAGATTGTGAGGGGGAGGGGATGTAGAGGATAAAGTTGATGGTTGGGCCCGGGCCGATGCTGGGGCTGAGGGGCCATTCGGCGGCGTTGATGAAGGCGCTGAGGTCGTCCTTCTTAAGGGTCCAGGCGGAGTGGGTTTCGTCATATTCCGGGGGTGGTGCGGTTGGAGAGGAGGTTGCGTAGAGCTGGACTTGGGTGTCGACGGTGAAGTTGCTGATAGGGGAGAAGGCGTCGAGGACTGGGGTTATGTAGTCGTGCACGGCGGCTTGGATGTCCCAGGAAGAAGGGGTTGCGCCGGGGGTGAAGAGACTGAAGGCGAGGTGGTAGGTGTCGGCGTATTTCATGGAGCGGCGGAGACGGCGAGTGACGCTTTCTGCGAGATCCGGGGAAGTGGGTGCGCCGGGGATGTTGTTGTCGGAGAGTACCTGGGCGATGATGGCTTTCTCTTCGGCGAAGAGAAGCTGGAGCTCGTCTGCGATGAATGTGGATAGGGGCGAGTTGGACGCCGACGGGGGCGGGATCTGGCTGGGAGGATAGAAGACATCGAGCTGAGTGGTATCATGGTGGAGAGCTGCTCGGGGGCTGGCGAGGTCGTCCTGGGGCAGTAGACGGACGGTCAATGCGGTGTCCGCGGCGTCGGCTGCGGAGGGCTGATCGGGGTCCTCGTTGGAGAGCTTCAGTCGCAGGTGGTGCGCGGAGAACTCATTGAGGTCGTCGAGGGTGTGCTGCGTAGAGCGGAGGAGATTCTGAGCGTCGACGTCGGGCAGGGAGGGGGTCTCGACGCGGATCTCGAGGGGGAAGACAGGACGACAGGTCTGGTGTTGTGTTCTTGTTAGCGAGGTTGTGAGCAATAGAGAGGTGAGAATACTTTTCCATCAGCCCAATCAATCATGTCCGGGATCGGCAGGGAAGCGCGATAGATCGAGGTGGTCTTCCACCAGATGGGAAAGCCCAGGAAGATGATCACAGCCCAGAAGGCCGCAATGACCTTGAAGCGGGTGCGGATGGCCTCGGGCTTCTCGGGCGGCGGCAGACGCGGCGTGGGGGTTGTGGTAGTCATTGTGTGGTCGGAGACAGTCTGGGGAGACGTCTGGGGATCATTCTTGGCCGTCATGGCCACATGCTTGAGAGAGGGAGTGGTAGATGGAGAGTTGGAGATGGATTGGAGATGGAGTTGAGATGCGGCAGCCAAGGCGGAGTGGCCCCGCCAGTTGGCCGAACCTCTTAATTCTGCTAACTACCACTACGATTATGCCCGGAGATAGGAAACAGTCTAACAGCATACCAATAATTCCATATTATCTATCCTGCAAATTCACTTGGGGTATCTAACCAATGCGCCAGCCTAAAATAACAAGACAATCCCACTAATACTCCTTTTCGAATAACTTCTGGATCGGTTTGGCCGCCTACACCCGTTAGTAAAGTCCAGCAGACAGGAACACAGTGTAACCTACGTCAATAAATCGCTCCAGATCCTGATCCAAGCTGGCCAAGTCCTCCTTGCGCTTGTTGTTCTCCGCAATCAAGGCCTGCTTGCGCTTCAGCAGCTCCTGTCGGGCCTGTTCCAGCTTCTCCCGTTCCGCGTGTTCGTGGTTGATGCGAGCGATCATCAATTCATGTTCATCGGACTGCTGGTGCTCGGGATGCAGAGCGAGGAACTCTTCGAGAGGGATCAAGGGGAGGGAGCGATATTTGTGACTATCCTGGTTAGCATGTCCCCTACCATATAGTGTCATTGAAGACCACCTACTCGTAGGACTCGCAGGCAGCAATCTCGCCTGTCAAATGTCGCTGTTCATAATACAAGTTCTGAAGCTGAAGATGGAGACGGTCAATCTCCTGGCGGGCCTCTGCAGTGGACTGCTTGGTCTCGCGCACCCGCACGATCGCATCCCGGTTCTGCCCCCGCAGACGAGCCAGAAGAGCAAACAATTGTTTCTGCTCGCGAGAGGCTGCCAGAGCACGCTCTTGGGGGTCATCGGACAGATCAGCCGTGGGGTCAAGGACGGCCAGCAGTTTCATGCATTGATCGCGAGTCTCGGCGCTGAGCCCGAGCACGGGCAGCAGCGAGGGATTGGCGACGATATCCCGGATGGCCATGGCGGGTTATCACAGGATGGATAAATCCGACGGAAAGGCGGAGACGATAGAAGGATAATTTAGTGGAAGAGAGTAGACTGTTTGTTGGTTCGGAGGTGGCTGGTGGCAAGGAAATCAACGCCAACGTGGAGCAGCTGCGGTCGCTGATGGGCTGAACGATAAGGTAGGGTTTATGACAGTAGCCACTGAAAGGTTGGGATGAAGAATGAATGGCGCGTAGACTCAATGAAGTTGAAGGACCGGGCGGAAATGAAAAAGGCCGTTTCAAGCGCCAGTTCAGTGAGTGGTCGATGATTCGGAGACGAAGCAGCCGGAACTAATCTTTTGGAACCTCCCCACTTCATTGGATTCTGTCTCTCTCTCCTCTTTCTCTTTCTTTAGTCCTTCTCCTTCTCCTCTTTCTGACTTCTCCTTTCAACCTCGCCCTTTCTAACTGTACTGGCTGCTGTTGGATTGCCCTCTCCTCTCTTTCGTCTCTCCTTAATTTCTCTCTCCTCTCCTCTCCTTGCATATTTATTAGTTTTCTCTTCTTGTACGTATTTTGGTACTCGTTTTCTCCGCCTCTCCCGGTTCTCCCGATCTTCCCCACCCAAAACAACATCCTTTCGCTGTCTGCCCAACCACCACTAACTCTTACACCCTCTCCAGGATATGTGGAATTGACTTCTACGCTGTGGTTTATCTGTCACTGTACGCCATGGCCTGCTCATCTCAATCTGTCACCATTGAGTCTTATCCGGAGGCCGCGGTGGCCTCCGCCTATGCCACCCCCGGAGAAGACACCGGCCTCCTGAGAGATCGCCGTCGCAGACACTCCTTTCATACGGCTCGCAAGTTGTCCTGCGACTACGATGCGGATGCTGTTTTCCTACGGGTACGCTGCATTCTTGGCTCCACCATCAATACTGTCCCTGACTGACCTCTCCGTAGGTGGAGCTCTTCCTGGCCGAACTCGAACGACGCCTCCACTGGCTCGAACAATACCGCAAGTCCCACATGGATCAGATCGACGCCAGTCTCCGCCGTGGATACGCCACCTTGGAAGCCGTGCGAGACTCCTGCTCCTATGCCTCTGGGGAGCTGATGGGTGGTGGAAAAAAGCGGGCCAAGATCTTGGTCGAGACGCTGGAGGACCGCTACATGGATGCCCTCGCAACAAAGGAAACACTCGAACAGAAAGCCCAGGCGGGAGTCCGACTGATGGAGTCGTTTCTGGTCGAGCTGGAGTCCCGCGCCCATGCGGTCCGCGACCGGGGGCTCTACGGCACTCTAGATGATGGCTGGAAGGCGATGGACTCGAAGCTGGTGCATGCCCGTGAGGTGGTCGACGAGGGTATGGAACGGGCACGACGGGCGAAAGACGCGCTGCGGGAGAGCATCGACCGAGCTATCCTGCTGGCCCAGGAGCAACGGTTGATCACGTATGCGGATCTCCCGCACCCGTGGCGGGTGAACCCGCATATCCTGCAGGGGTATCGGTTCACACACTCCAAGGTGGAATGCTTGACCTCGGTGTTCACCCCTTCAAACGAGACGTTCAACATCTGGTCTCACCTGATCGGGCTTTTCATCGTCCTGTCGGTGGCCTTTTACTTCTACCCGCTGAATCCCAACTTCCACCTCAGCTCGCGAACGGACATTCTCGTGGCGGCCGTCTTCTTCTTCGCGGCGTGCAAGTGCCTGGTCTGCAGCACACTGTGGCACACGATGAACAGCATTGCCAGCCAGACGCTGATGGAGCGGTTTGCCTGTGTGGACTACACAGGTATCTCGATGCTGGTGGCAGCCTCGATCGTGACGACCGAGTACACGGCTTTCTACTGCGAGCCGGTCTCACGGTGGACTTATATCCTGCTGACCATGTCGCTGGGTATTGGAGGAGTGATCCTGCCGTGGCACCCGACCTTTAACCGGGCGGATATGGCATGGGCGCGCGTGGCCTTTTACGTATCGCTAGCGCTGACGGGATTCGCGCCGTTGGCCCAGCTGACGTACACGCGTGGACTCGCCTGGTGCTTGTATTTCTACGCACCCGTGGTGAAGAGCATCATGGTGTACTTCGTGGGAGCATGTGTGTATGCGTCGCAGGTGCCGGAGCGGTGGCGGCCAGGATTGTTCGATTATGTCGGTGGCAGTCACAACATCTGGCATTTGGCCGTCCTTGGAGGGATCTTGTTCCACTACTGCGCGATGCAGGATTTGTTCGCGGGAGCGTTCCAACGGGCGCAGGGCGAGTGCCCGAACCTGGCCAAGTAGGGGGTAGATGGGTAGTAAAAGGGGTGTAGATGGTGTATAGACATAGAAGTACTCTGTAGATGGAGGTTGTATTGTGGATGTCTCATTCTTGTACATACATTTGGGGAGAGAGATAGCGGACATAGATTCTTTCCTATACTGTCAATATTTCTGACCACACATTGCCAACGTTCTTCTCTGTTAGCATCTGCTAACAACCCCCTCATTCCTCACCAATCAGTAAGTGTCCGTCTAATCTATCGTAAATAGTTTGGATGACGGCGTTGCAAAACGAGCAAGTCAACCACGGGCGAAGGGCCCATCCATTACATTTGCAGCGACGGGATTGGACGGAAAGTAATGATACAATGGGTCTGGAGGAAGACGACTAAGAGATAATTGTGGATGACAGTTGGTTCAACGAGATAAAAGAGCTCCTCAATCAGCACTAGACAGCTACTACTAACCCCTCCATGTCTTGATTCACTGATGGGGGCTAAAACATATTACTGCTGAACATATATAAACTGGATCGCCACCACAACCACTCATTCACCACATACCACCCTCCCAATTAACACCACTCTCACCACCAACTCACCCCCAAAAGAACCAAAAGATACTAGTAATTGAAGAGAAGATGTTCCTCGCCTCCCTCCCCCCCAACACCCCCATCACCATCACCATAACCGGCACAAGCCCACACACCCCTCCCAACCTCACCAAAACACTGACCTCACTCTTCGCCTCCGCCCTATCCGACTCTCTCTGCGCCCATACCGAAACCCTCCACCAGCACCACACGAATAGTACCATCCACCTAACCTACTGGAGCACAGAAAACTACAAAACATGGCTTGCATCCCCAATCGTCTCCGCTTTCTTCACCTCCCTCAACAACAATGATTCTGCTGAAGCTGCAGCAGCAGGAATCTACCACGAAACCCTAACCATCCAACCCTCCCGCATCCAAGGCGCCACGAACCACCCCGTCCCATCGGGATGTATGCACCTGGGAAAGATAGATCTCAAGCCCGAGTTATCGGGGTATTGGGGGTGTTATCCGGATCGGATTGGGGAGAAGAGTATTAGATCGAAGATTACTAGGGAGGATATTAGTGCAGCTGCTGTGTCTATTGCAGAAAACAAGCCTGAAGAGAAAGGGAAGATCCTCCCCGGGAAACAAACCATCACCCACATCTCCGATAACATCTGCTTCGTGGTCGAAGGTCAAGATCACTCTGCTGCATCTGCAGAGGAACGTACGTACTGGGCTGAACACTTCGATTCCCTGTCGCAGGAGTGGGTGGGCCAGGTGCTAGGTGCGGGATTACCGGGGGGTGTGGTTTCCTCTAGGGGATGTTATAATCCTTCTGTGGAGAGTACGCTTCCTGATTCTGATGCTACTGCTGAGGAGGGAAAGAGGAGGTATCCGTTGACGCTTGGGCGGGATGTACAGTTGCTTTACTTTGTGGATTTGCAGTATATGGAGACGTTGGGGAGGAAGAGTGCGGAGCATGTTAAGCTTAGGAAGGCGTTTATGGAGGCGTATGGGCCTGGGGGTGTGCTGTTTGGAGGGGGGCTGAAGTTGTGGGTTGAGACGGCGGTGTTGAGGGATGGGGATTTCTTGGGCGAGTATTGGGGGTGTGTGCAGGGGACGGGGTTGTTGGGGGTTAGGGGGGTGTTGGGGGTTGAGTGATTATGATTCTGTGGGAATGGATATGTGTATGCAATGGGGGTGTGGTAGTATGGCTGATGTTGAGGTTGGTGGTGGTGGTGGTGTCGTGAGGTTGTGTATGTTAGGTCTATGTTTGGGGTCATTCTTGGTCTGTATGATATCAAGGTTGGGTAGGGGATAGGAGTTGGTGTACACTTGATGATGTAGCATAGTAGTCTCTACTCATCTAATGAAAGTAAGCTTGATTAACCTCTTGCTATTATTGTCTCTGTACCTCTTCTACTATCAAGAAGACATGGAATCTCGCTCTTTACAGAGAGATGCAGGCTTACGTGGACTTCACTGAAATAACTATACATAGTAGTAGACATGATCTACCACTGCATACACCATGTCAAATTCTACAATGTCTTCAATTGGAACGAAGATATTCTATCACACATCTACGAAGATTGTCTGATGACTACAACCTGCTTCAAGCAGACTCAACGTACAGATCTGAGATATCTCACATCCATCACCTGTAGTGTAATCAACAAGTATCTGTCACGGCTGCGCCATGGAATGCACACTCAGATCCATACTTAGTAGCAATACGTAATCACTGCTGGTCATAATCTCAGCACATGAACAGGTATCTAGCAGCCATGATCTTCCAACCCCATCTTCCGCAAGAACACCCACCTCGCGTGTACATCCCGCACAGCATGATCCATCCTTGCGTCGCATGACCTCTGCATTACGAGGTGATCAAGTCTCCACAGCTGGACATACTCTCGCTTCACTGTGCGGAACTGCACTCCCCATGCCAAGCTGCATTGCATCGTGTTTGTCCACGCTATCTGACATTGAGCGAGTCAGAATATCCCGCACTGCTTCGAAACCTGTTTTCGAGACGAGGTTCGGCACTGCAGATACCGGAGAGTGCCCGAGAATAGACCAACCGCTGCAAAGATACTGCCCTCTTCCATAGAACAAGGATAGATGTGACAACATGCATATTCTTGTTTTCACCCGGTCATTAACCGCGCCACATAGGTGACGTTGCTGCTGCCACTCGCCTCGGAGATGTAAGTGTAGATCTCAACGCCTCGACGCCACGTCCATCCCTCGCTGGTTGCCTTCGGTTGCCTTGGCCTTGCTCGGGTCTGGCGGTGGGATGCTGCCGTTATTGCCATGTGGATTTGGTAGCCTCGGGATAGTTAACCCAGATAATGGGAACCATAAGGCTGATCGCGGCATATTTCAGTCTATAGATTCTGTGGTTGCAATATATGCAATGTTAGAGGCTATTGCTGGCCAACTTACTAGATCATGCTGTCTACGAAGATCCTATGCAAGAAGCGCATATGAGAAAAAAGAATACTCTCGTGATGAACATGATCCTCGTATAAGCCACCATGTTGGGTTCCCCACGAGGATCACGAACAGGTAGATAGTATATCCACTTTACGCAGGGATCACCCGGAAGCGAAGGCTTAAGCTTCCATGTGCCGTGTTCTTAGCCGATTGCTATGCCGTCTTCCTTGTCAGCTGGTCTTCTGTTACTGCTATTGGCCTTGGTGCTCTTTCTGCTGTTCCACTTCATCACATCTAGTCATTCTGCTGGTTCATGCAGGTGTCCGCTGCACTCCTCGCTTCGTTCAGGCGATGTTTCAGCTATCAGCTGCGCCGAACCTAGACAGTTCCACTTCAGCAGCATGATCACACGCCAGATCTCCACGCATGAACTGTGTATCACCTGGTGGAATAAGCACTTCTCAATCACACATGTTGTACTTCTTCAAGACATACACGTCTCAGTTGGCCTATTCACCATTAGTATAGCTCACCAAAAGTATTTCATCACGTATAACGTAACAGGACTACAATTATAATCACGTTGGCAGCAATAATGGCAACCAATACCCAAGCTCGTGCTAACTTGAGTCAGCTCGTAACGCTTGGTGCACAAGCAAGGACCATCAGTGTCCCACCTGCTATGTAGAGATGGGCTTTCTCGACGATATGTGCTCGTCTAGTTTGCTGAAAGCAGCCATAGCAGACGCATTTCCACGTCGTATTAGCAGTCCCCACGATCCCACTACTCAAGGACCACAGAATCGACCTCGTACTTAGATTCTGATCGCACATTAAGTCGCAGTCGATGGCAAACACTAGTCTCCCGTAGCAGATTCTGTTGCCTTACCAAATATTGGGCAACAGCAGTGTTTCAAGTGTCTGGCATCAAACGTCTTTCCTCAGTCTCGGCTGTTTTGGGCCTTGGCGAACATAGTAAACTGATATGAACCTGTTCGTACCAAGATTTGTCACATATCCTGGAGCCATGCATGCATGATAGAGACATGCCAACGCCATATCATGGCAATGCACTTACGCGCATGTATAAACGCAAATGACTCATTCCGTCTCGCGGCTTGAGCCGACATCCAAAAGGCCCAGCCTCGTGTAGCACTCCGGCCGAGCATACCTTGCTTAGCGACATAATCCAGGGATTTGACGGGAGCAATACGAATTTGTAGCAAATCCCGAAGGCCGAAAGGGTGTATGTCGCTTCCGTGTAACGCTCAGGGACTACTAGTTTTATGGTACCTGAGAACTAGTCAGGGGACCCGTAGCTTCCGAAGAGCTCCTGCGTGAAGGGTCCTAGTTTGGACGTATCGCTCGGTGAGGAGGATTTGACGCGGATCCCTGCCGAGGTCGTCCATGCCCGAGCATACCTCGAAAAAAAGGGAGAGAGAAAAAGCAACGGTCCTTGGCTTGTTGACGAATGCCAACCGAATGACGGAGAACGCCGGACCACCGCCATTCACATTTCCGATGAAGGCCTCATCAGCTGCTAGCGTCACCTCGTTCCTGCAATCCTGCTAGTTGACGTAACTAACTTCTGGCGGGTGTTTCAGCTGTCCTGCGCCTGAACGACGACTGCTTGTCATGCTAATTTTGTGGCGGCCGGAAGGGGCTGTACAGGGAAAAGAGTTACGCCGAAGAACAGGGGTAACATAGGGGAGGGAACTCTCAATTCCCCGGAATTTCCGTCAACTTGTTTCATAGTTTCATCACACTATGCCTTAGGCTTCAGCTGAAGGGAGGATCAGCGACGTGCAGTTGCGGCGAAGATCTTTACCGCTTTGGCTGCGAACACCAGATCTCACAGCCTGCGCAAGACACTAGGTCAAGGGCGCAGTTAGCTTGGATTCCTACGAATCTCTCTTCTTCTGGTCCCGTAATTTTAAGGCTCGGCCGCTGCCATAGTTCGGCTCGGTTCGAGACATGGCAGCTCTGACCAGCGGTCCACGCGGAAAGGCATGCTTGGCTGGTCCGGTTTGATTAATCTCTTATTTCTTTGCTTTTTGTTCGTGGTTTTATAACCTTGTCACTTACTTTTCGAAAAGGTCCGGTGTTGGACGAGGCCATGGATCTTTGAATGAAGCAAATGAAGTCATCCTTGGACTCGGTTAGCTTTAGTGAGTACCTGCTATCCATGCCGGACAGCCAGCCAAGGGTGGTCCATGCGGGTTTGCGCACCGGCTTTCTTACCGAATAGAAGCAGCGATGTGAAAGATAAGGTTGCTGGAGCTAGGAGCTTGGACCAAGCGTGCCTTGCAGGCGCGCAGTGAAACCAACCAACCCGTGTCCGCGACCAGGGGAAAAGAAAAGTAAAAAATTATTGACAGTATTATTTACTCGGCTCTTCAATAAATTCGTATCCTCACCCAGTCCTGCGGCCGAGCCCGGTTGAACTCGCATTATCCGGAATGCAGGTCCGTTTTCAGGCCGTGTGAATCAATAGCACTGGAGGTGTTTCCTGATGGATACCTTCCCCCGCGGAATGGCGTGGAGACTGACCGTTTCTGGGTCATAATCTGCCAGCGGAGAAGCCCGAGCCCGCAAGGGCGCTGGCATATTCGGGGGGAGCGAAAAATAAATCAGAACGGCATCAGTCGGCGTTGTCTGTAGATAGTAGGAGACAATAGCGCAACGCTTTGTGAGTGAGACCTCTGGAGGAGCCCCTTTTCGGAATGCTTTCTCCGAGGATCCCTGAGATGGCCAACCGCCGTTCACTCCTCCATTGCTCCGTTAGCCGTTCATAGTCACTTTAGCTTGTGCAACGGACCCGGCGTTCTGGTAAGCCATGCGAAGGAGGCAGCCGGACTTACACCAACTCGGCGAATCTAACGTTAGTTGCCAAATAGGAATGATTAGGTCCGTGGATTGACGCAGGGTACTTTCGCCGCTACTCCGTAGTTTGCCATTATTTACGGTAGTGCCATCACGATCCGTGATTGACCAGGCCAAATTTAGAAAGCGACAATTGCTTTTGGGGGGCGCATCCTCATTTCTTATCGCGCGGGCGTGGATATCCCCTTTTTTGACTGGTCTAAAGGCCAGGAAAAAGCAAATCTGACAGAGCACTGGCCAGCAGCAATCTTTTAAGGAGAACGAGGCTTGGCTTAGCATGCTCCTTTTCAGCAAGTACATAGTTGATCGTTTGATTAAAGGGACAACCCCTCAATCAAGCTGACCGAGGTCAGCAGTGCCGGCGGGCTGTGACAAGCAGGTATGTGAACGCCTCCGGATAAAGATCGGGGGTGGTTCAATAATCCCTGTTGAAGCTCTGCTAATTTTGGACTTTTGTCGACAGGGCGAAGAGAAACAGCAAAACTGATGCTACGTCCTTTGATGGAGCGAGGACTGCTCTCGTATCGTAATAACGGTTGAAGGAATGGGGTGAGGCTTTCCATAGCCAGTTCATCATGGCCTTTGCTACCCAACTTGGAGATTTGTATGCTGTTGAAAGATGACATTGTCACCTGCAGCCTTCGTAGTGACTGCCACTGAATGCAATAATGCCGTTGATTCTTCGGAGACCGCAGAACCGTTAGTGGATAGTGTCGCCAATCCTAGCTGAATACAGTAAGAACCAAGGAACCTGAAAAGCAAAAGAAATTATCGAGATGCAGAAGCGTGGGTTAGAGAAAACGAAGCCCAAAGCCCGTCTATCCCCTGGGGCAGTGCGT